CACATCTTAGGGGGAGAAAAAAAGTAAGGGGTAGGGAGGGGCCTGTAATGTGTAGCATCTGTATATCCATAATCACTTTAAATGAAGTAACTATAAAAGGAGAGGTCCACGTTCATTTTTCACTGAACCTGTTTGTTGTTCCCAGGATAACAAATTCTGTTAAGCTGGTCTGATTGCAAATGTACACATGGATGTTTCTGTAGCACGGACAAAATAAGAATTTTATCTTAATGCATAACAAAGTTCTTAGTTGTAGGAATGAAAACGTGGACCGCTGTTCATGATGGGGGATGGTAAAAATCTGTGAATATGGCAGAGTACTCCAAATACCTATTTCAGGGGGCTGTAATGTAACATTCACGTGTCTGTGTAACAGTGTTCCAGATGATGTCTTTGTCTCCTAGGTGTGAACACTTCAGAACAATGTTCCAGTCATACTGGAATGAGGATATGAAGGAAGTGATAGAAATAGACCAGTTTTCCTATCCTGTGTATCGTGCCTTTCTTGAGTACTTGTATACAGACAGCGTTGACCTTCCGCCTGAAGATGCAATAGGTATCACTTGCAGTCCAATTACATTAGAAAGCAGCATCCAGAAAAACTGAGGCAGGGGATGCAGAATAAATGTATAAATATAGACTTCTAGTCTATCCTGTAATGCATTTTACTGGTGATTAATTGTCTTTAAAAGGCTCTTGTAGCAAACTTAATACAGCAAAAGTGATGCACATATAGAAATAATCTATGAGCAGCTTTTTCAAGTTTGACAGAGAAACTATTTCTCTGGATTAAAATACATATTTAAATTGAGTCAATTATTGATTGGCGTAATTATCAAATAATCTCAATAGATCTCATGGGAAAACTTGTACAGCAGAGCAATTACAGCAGGCTGTAATTCAAGCCTATATTTTGATATTAGTAGCATTTTACTCATGTTGTGGTGCCTGTTTTGTGGCAAAATGGCTTGCACGATTGCAAGCCATTAGGTGTGCAAATCAGTGGAACAACTCTCATGTTTACGGAGATTAACAGGATTGCAGCATGAGGTAATAAAAGGCCTTTCTTCACATGTAATGTCCATTTTCTGAGTAGTGACCTGCTTGCAAAAATCACATTGTGGAGATACAGAAGTTTTCACACAGAACACGGGTGCAGTTTGTACCCCCAGGAGCATAAACTGTTGCTGAAAGAGCAGAGATTGTTACGTCTGACTAACACAGTGGCGCTTTAATTGCAGGGCTTTTGGATCTGGCTACTTCGTACTGTGAAAACAGACTGAAGAAACTGTGTCAGCACATTATCAAGAGAGGAATTACTGTGGAAAATGCATTTTCATTGCTCTCTGCTGCTGTCAGATATGATGCAGAGGTAAACTTCTAAAGTTCAATCTCTTAAATAGGTGGCTGCTTTCTGACGTAAACTAGGGAGAAAGGCAGCCAGTTACGTTTTTCATATAAGCTCTCACTCACTGTCAGATAATGCTATTTGCCACTTGCAGAATTTGAGAGTGTTGGACTTATAAAAACTGTATTTGACATGACCGATATATCTTTTATTATAATTTTTCTCCATAAACCAGTTCGGGGAAGATGAACTATTACGCAGATATTTCTGAGGGTGAAAACACTAACTCATAAACAAGGAAAGGGTTTAAATACAAACGAAAACACTATGAAAAGCAGTCTTGTAAGCCTTCAAGTTACTTATTTGTGAGGCTGTGTGTTGTGTGTGATGATATAGGGTGGTAGATTGGGGACTGAGTGCTTTTGGTAATTTTTTTTTGGTTGATGGAGTGGGTGTTTTTGTTGGCTTTTTTTGTTTTGTTTAGCTACAGTCAAATACAGTTCTGGTTTTCACTGTCTGCTAATGATGTGTCAGAATAAGAGCTGCTTCATGGGCCTTACAAATGTTGAAGAGGGAGGAACAGTGTGCTGAAAGGGGGGGAAGGCTGGTGAAACTTCCCTGCTGCGTGATGTCTGACTTCGCTATTAGACCACTAACATGCAGCTTTGGGAACTAGTGGGAAGTATTCCAGGGCTTGCTTTGGCTGTTTGTGTTCAGTGTAGTATCCGCGCGTTGTGCTGGCAACTTTGCAATGGGTTGGTTTTTAACTTGCCACTTATGCTTATGAAGCAGATTTTTGGTACTCAGTAAGTCTACTCGTTGCTTTTTCTTGTAGTTAATATCCAGCAACTGGCATGCAGGTTACCCTAACTTATTTCAGAGCCTCGCAGTGTGTTGCTTGTTTGATATATCTTGCCCAGAGGGCTGTGTTAGTGTCTGTTGTGCCTTAAGCTCTACTGTGAACAATGATGTCTTTGGTGGGAGTACATCAAAAGTAGAAGATTTGCATACTTTAGCCTCAAAGGACTGTTTGCAGGACAGATCTTCACTGTGTGATTGATTCTGCTTGTAAAGGATGTAAGAAATCCAGTTACTATGCTTGGTCTGTACCTTACTAGCTAAGTGAAATTAGAAATCAAGTGAAAAGCATAGACCTAAATACTGCTTCCAGGAGAGAATGGGTGACCCTGAGGTGTTGGGATTTAATGAAAAGGTGGTTTTATGTGCTGTAATGTTAGCTGGGGACTTGAAATTGCTTGGGTCATGTAGTTCATTCAAGGGAGTGTGGGCCTGGAAGACAACAGCTTAAAGAAGCTGCTTCACTGATTTTAAAATACCTCCATGACATGAAACTCTTTCTTTTGGTGACTAACTGCAGTGACTAGCATTAGGTCAGGGCTGGCTTTTAAAATAATCCTTGGCTGTACCTTGTGCCTTTATTCACCTAAGTCTGTATTGAGTACAGTTTACTGGGAGTGCATCTGTCTGCAAATGAATTTCAGCCTTTTTTTTAATGCAGAACTTTAAATTTTCCAGAGTTACTTACTAATACTACAATAATTCTGTTTATTGTATGCTTCTGTTGCATTGACTTGGAATATGAATTTTTTTAATAAAGCAGTGCAAAATATTCTAATGTGTATGATGTAATTTTCTTTAAAATGCTAGTTAATTCTGTTATTTAAAAAAACATCAGTGTTCAGTTCTAATAAGCTTGTCTTTTTTTGTTGCACAGATGCCACACAAGTCAAGATCTGCAGCTTCAGAATGCCTGGTTTTAGGCCAGGATATATTTTTATATTATTGTTGTGTCAAGAACTCCCACTAGCACACACAGTTGCTGTAGCTTTCAGTATTGACCTTAAGTGAAAACACGATTAGTCTTTCATACCTCATGTGGCTTAAAGAGCTCTGCAAATTTGTTGTGCCTTCCTGCAGTGCCCAGTCTGCTGAGCAGCTGAGGAAGGGTGTGTTCTCACATACAGGATACTGGTCCTACAAATGTTTAATAAAGAAAAGGGAACAGCGTGGGGAGTTGCCCTTCTGTAAGGGCTGCAGTGCCCTCCTTTTATAGCAGCTTAGATATGCATCCCAGAGTAGATTCCTTCTCAAAAGAGGACTCGGAAATATTCAATACGAGTGGGAAGTGTCCTGTGGTCAACCTTATATTGACAGTGACTTGTCTCTTTTGTTCCTTAAGACATCGCTTTGATCTGACATCATGTGGGTGCACTTATGGTTCTGAGGCTTTTTGCCATGTAACTTCAAGGCTCTTAGTTAAGCCCTGAGCTAAGCCGGAGGTCAGGCAGCTCTACAGAAATATGAGTTTGTATATATATATTGCTCAAAACAGCTGATTTTTGTGACTGCAGCTGTATAGTAAGAACCAGATTTTGGTTACCTCCCCTTGTAATTGCAATTACATAGTGACATGGATGGGTAGAATTATTATTTTCTGTTGCATTTATGTAGTGACTGTTTGGGGAGAAACCATTGAGAACCACTGGGTTAATGTTTGTCCAGTTCTCTGCAAAAATAAAGCATATATATGGGCACTTGTGCCTGAATGAAATTTTCTGTGATGAAAACAAAGATAATAACACTTCTTTTTTTTTTTTTTCCCCCGTTTAGGACCTAGAGGAATTCTGCTTTAAGTTTTGTGTCAATCATTTGACAGAAGTGACGCAGACTACAGCATTTTGGCAAATGGATGGTCCCCTGCTAAAGGAATTCATTGCTAAAGCCAGTAAATGTGGAGCCTTTAAGAACTGACACGAGGCTGTAAGTTACGGTCATGGCAGGGAGGTTTTTTTTCGGTTACAGCAGGGATGCCATAACTGTACGGGTACAGCAAGCGTTGCGTGGTCTCTTGCACCGGAAGACATGGAAGGCCACAGTGAAAACAAATGTTTTCAGTGCTCCAGAGTGAACTGTTGTAAAAATGTCAAGCAGAATATTCACTTGCATTTAACCAAGTTGGATGATGGAACCAGCTCAAGGTTTGAGACGGGGAATGCTGCGGGATGCAAAAGATACTGGCTGGTGTTATGGACTTACCTTTCTAGCCTAGGAAATCTCTGTTCTAGCACCGCCTGCTCCTATGTTCAATTTACATTTTGAGGTCAGAGAACAGTCTGACCTGAGCCACTGAATGATGTCACTTAAATCATTAACTCCCTGGGATTATAGAGAAGCAAATGGCATGGTTATTTCTTACTGCATTCGCATGATTGAGAATGAATTGGCCATTTGCTGTGTGTAATTAACCAAGTGTGTCCAGTTCTTAAAGTGTGCAAAAATAATGTATCCTCAAAGCCTAGGCAAGTGACTTTGAGGAAAGGAGTTACTAGCAAAACTAATTGGGAGTAAATCTCTATATTTGGGTATATTTTAATATAAGTTGTAATATGTACTTTGTGTAATCTGTTCAAACAGTATTTATAATGCTTAATGGAAATAATTCCCTCTTCAGTGACTTCAGATGACATTGGTTCCCTCAGAGGGGAAGGGAAATACTGTACTGAAAGTTGGGTGGGGTTTTGCTTTGAAGTATTGTCTAAACCTAAACTACATGTAATAAAATTTAATTTTTTTGGTACCTGTTCACTAGCAAACTAACTTAGACTTTGAAGAATGTTACAAACTTCCTGTGTTACATACACTGTATAAATTGCTTTATTTAAAAAACAACCTAAAACCCAACAGAACAACAAAGGAAAACTGCCAACAAAAAACACAGCCAAACTTACCTCTCCTGCTATATTACTGAATCTTGCTGATTTCACTGTACTTGACGATACCAGTGATTTTGATTTCAGAATTGAGCAAATTTATTTGTAGGCTCTAATTTAGACCTCAATTGCAAGCTATGGATCCGATTTTTTTTTTTCATGAAGTCATCCATATGTGACTGTAACCCTACAGCAGGTATGTATGGACATCTACTATTGTCATCGTATATTTTTAATAACAGAGCTCCACATTAATGCACTTTTGTTTTAGGTGGGGGTTTTCCAGGCAGAATTGCTCTGAGTGGCACTCGAGTCCTAGGCTTGGGCTGTAAGCTGGTGGTGCTTCTAGGCCCAGGGAGGCAGCAGGCCTGAACACTATAAGCAATTAAAATGACTACTATTTGTTCTAGGGGGCACAGCTAATAGTTCAAAGCTTGTTTTGAATGTTGTTATTCTGTGCTCCCATCAGGAATTCTAAATGGTCAGGGGCAGAGTACAGCTGTTGTAACAGGATGTTACACTTGTCATGAAACCGTGAGGGCACTGGAGCACTCTGGTGCTGCTCTGCTTCCTACTGAGGCAAGGGGTGGTTAAAGCAGCGCCTGACACTGCTCTCCCTCCTTGGCCACATCCTATGTAGCAGCAGGGCCAGTGACCACAACTCCACACAGCTTTTTTGAAAAAATGTTTTATTTTGTTAATTTAGCCTTTTGTAGCTAAACAATGCTTTTCTGTATTGAAATAACTTTTTAAAGGCAAAACACAGGGAAGGTGGATCCTTCCTTAATGGAGAAAGGAAGACCCAGATCACTGTTTGATCCTTTTGACATTGTACATGTTCTGAGTATAATGACCAAGGGGGTTTGGTCCACCTGTAAACACTGTTTCACCACTGCCATTACAGCAGAACTAATTACACGTTGACCAGTCAAGCAAGAATAACTTGGGATCTTTAATTCAACTCCTGTTCATGACTCAGATGGCTTCAAGTGCAAGTTCTGCTCATTTATCTTCTTTGGAAAGCCAAAGCACCAATATGATCCTGAAAACATCACTGTCTAGCCACAGACAGTGAAGCAGCTATGGCACAGCCAAGAGAGGGCTCCACAGTTAAAGTGACTCTTACAAGTGTTCTGTTGCAGCTGCTGTTCCCTTGTCTTGGAGCAAAAACTCTTCACTGGAGGGTTTAAAAAAAGCTAAATTTAGTGTATAACACTGCTGTACTACACAGTAAAATCTGAAGACGAAGATTTGGAAATTTTAAGGACTTAAAATTATTGCACTGTTGAGGTATAAAAAATGTGGATAAGATCCAGTTCTTACTTGTGTCCCTGTCTTGGGAGTGGGGAATTTCTTAGGCAGGGACCACATGTGCTCTAGGGTTTCTATCATTAGAAAATCCTAAATATTTGACACCATTACAGAAAGACTTAAGTGTTATTCAGACACCGTACTAGATGTACTGGCTGTGCTCTCTGGGGTAGGAAGGACTTCTTTTAAGTCCTGCAGTAGCTCAATCTTGTGATCCAGTCTTTTTCTGTTTTCCAGAAGTTCCTGTATTTTTTCTTCTGTTCCTATTACGAAAAAGAAAAGGATAAAAGCCTTTATTCATACATAACTATTTTTAACTTAAAATACATGTTACATATGCATAAACACTGCAGAGGCTACGAATGCTTAGTTTAAACTACAGTAAAACCTCTGCTTTCTTCAGCAACATCTTTAACCCACCACTCTGTACGCCTGGGCTCTTCATGAAGAGCTGGACCACGTGTTGGAAGAAGGAGCCCGACTGATGCATCAAAAAAAGCACAAAGCAGTGTTTGCATACTTTGTCATCCACCTAACAAAATCCATAATGTAGCTGCTTTTGAGATTAAATTTAAACCATCACTGCATACGTAAAAATTATTAGTTTAGTTACTAATCCAGTGCTAACTAGCATATGAACTTTAACAATTCCCTTTTCAGATTCCATTTCTATGGCAAAAAGATGCATTTTAAATCTTTAAAGATAACATCTCTGAATTGCAGTCTTGAAGCAAATTTTAGCATACAAGACAATTACACCTAAAAAGAGACGAGTTGGACAACTGCCTTCAACAGCTTGATGCTCAAAACCACAACTCGAGCATTTATTTCTCCTGCTTCTGGCAAAATTGTTATTGACAGTACCCTGATGGGATTAACCAAGTTGTTTACCTTATTTGCAAAGCTCTGCCTGACTGCATTTCTGCTTCTCTCTGTTGCTTCCATTTTCCTAATGTTAAAGATTATTGAAGTCAGTGAGATCTTGGTAACAGGCTTTGCCAGTATTCAGCAGCATTACCATAACCTTACAGTGTTAATTGCAAGTTTTAAATGAAGCACCTGCTTTGTTCGGTCAACAAGACAGAGGTGTTGGTGACCTCTGAGCAGCAAGGTTGGTCTGTGAACAAAAAATGAGTTTTTCTCAGTGTGTGAGAATGTCAGAGTTCACATTCCAGTAAGAAGGAAAAGACATTTTATACAAACTGAATATATTTTTTCTCTTTTGGGGGGAAAGAGAATGTCTCCAAAGGGGTAGAGTGGGGAAATTATCTCCAGATATAACATTTAGAATTACAGAGCCTTAACTGATCAAAAAAGAAAAAAGTAAAGCACCTTTGACCTTCCACCTTCCTGCTGCTTCTTCCTCTGCAATCAGAAAGCCCATAACTGCTGCTCTCTGTGCGTGTACGTGAAAGATTATGTACGTGCACATTTTTAAGTACATTACCCAAAGTCAGGTGTGGGTGTTGGAAACAGGCTCCAGAATGAGGGTGGTGCCTGCTGCCCAAGGAAAATTCTGGGCAGCAGATCATTAGTGCTCCATGCTTGTTCTGACTGAAGAGAAGCAGATGGCTCCTTCTCTCTATAATCAGGGGACACCAATATTTGACAGCACTTCCCCCTGCTGCCCCCAAAAACCTGTGCCTGCCCCTTCACAGTGTTTAGCAGCTCAACAGTGGACAAATCCACAAAGGAAACAGTCCCCTTCACTGCAGGGGCCGGGGGCAGGCAGCCTTCATGGCACTTCCCTGTGGTGCTACGAACTAGCAGGCACGTACTTGAAGAAAAAGTTGGACATTTACAAGTGAAAGCTGAAAAAAACCCCAACTTCTTAGAGACTATTTGGATATGAATTAATAAATTATGAGAAACAAACAAGCAGCTTGGTTAGAGCACAGTGCTAGTAATGCCAAGGTTGCAGGTTCAATCCCCACAGGGGCTGTTCACTTCAGAGCTGAACTCAAGGATCCTCGTGGGTCCCTTCCAACTAAGAATGTTCTGTGAGGATGTATTCAGCATTTGGGTGACCTACAGATGGAAGGCTTACAGCTCAGACATACAGCTTAGTTTCTGTTCTGCCAAAAGGATGTGGCAGAAATAGAAAAAGCCCAGAGAAAGATGTCAGGGATGGGAATGACTGGCCTACGGCAGTGCTTCCACAGGGAGGCAGATAACAGATTGGAAACCCTCTACTTCATAGAGGAAATGACCTAAAGGGAAAGAACATGTATTTCTGTAAAATAAGGAATGGCCTGAGGGACATGGGCCTGGAGGGACCGCCCTTGATCTTCTGAAAGACAAGTGCTGTGGGATGCTGAGTAGAGGAACTGCACAACAGTTTTAAATTTAAGGATCATGGCCTTTGTCTGTGCAGCTGAATTGCAGAATTTGCTGCTACAGTTCCCCTAAAAACAAAAGCTACTGAGGAGCTCAAAAGCTACTGGACAGAGAGCTGACCAGCAGAGAGGAAATGAAAACTGATGGAGATATCTTCCCAAGCAGGATGCACAACAGAACTGAAAGCAAAACTAAAGGAAATCACTTTTCTTTGGAGGAGAGGACAAGGATCTCTGACCTAGAAATATGAAACTGCTGCTGAGGTGGTAGCATGTCCCATATGGAAGGTTTCACATGCAGACACGTTTGCAGTAAAGCTGCAAGAGAACACTTACAGTTCAGAGTAGCCTTGCTGTGCTGACACCTAAGGCTTTACATGATACAGGGTTTACAGGGTTTGCATGATAATGCAACAAATTAAAAAAATGAAATGCAAAAATGGACTGAAGGTAAAGCGTGTCAGATGACCCAAAATCATCAGCTCCAGGAAAATATCAAAGACACGGTATTTATACTAGTCTTCCTTAACTTAGTACATCACCACAGAGACTCCCTATTTAAAGCTTGTAAGGCAGATGACAACAACAAAAAACCCAAAACAAAAAAAAGCCAGTAATTTCCTTCTCTCCCTACAGTCCCACTTTCTTTCCTTTCTCACTGGTTCATTTTAAGAGCTCCTCTTCAATCAGTTTTGGAACCAGCCTTTATGTGTGTTTTCATTGTTGACCTTGAAATGAAGAGGAGGACAGTGGCATCAGAAAAGAAGATTGTGTGGTACAGGAAGAATTGAGCTGTTGGAGTCATGGGGAACTGGGAGAGGGGACAACTTGTACCTACGAGAATCACGTGGTTGTGTGCACGTAGGTGCCAATATCAAGAAATTCTCCTGCCAGCTGAGAAGAAGGTGAAATAATTGATGCAGCTGTGAAAAAAACAAGTATGATCCAAGATTGTGTCACATGAGGAATTCCAAGCAGGGATGTTTTAATGCCCTCAGATGAGGCACTGGCAGAACCTTGTGTCAGACAACTGCAACACCAGACACTCCCACTGCTGAAAAAGTGATTTAAATGCAAAACTGGGAAACTAAAGGGGGAGCCTGGCTTTTTCAGTCAAGTGAAGGGAAAACACCTTCACACGCTGAACCTCAGTGTTAGCTAATTAAAGCCCCTTTCACTGTACTAAAAGCAAAGTTAGAACAAGGCTGCTAACTGTTAGAGAGGGAAATCAGAGCAAGAGACTCGCCTGTCTGAAAAAGTTTTAGCCTTGTTGCTTAAAACAGCTGAGATTGAAGTCCAAGCCCTAGAGTTTCCTTCCACACTGCAGTCCCAAGCAACCACTTCCTTGTTTCCATTTCACTCTGAGCATTCTCATCTTGTTTTTCAAAGCATGTTACAATTGCCACCAGGCCCAGCTAAGTTCTGCCAGTGTTTGGCTGTTGTGTTTCAGTTAAAGGTATTAGTCTGAACACTTGTCAGGCAGCAGCAGAACTGTAACACAGGCAAGCTGCTGAAGAGAGGCTGCAGAGAAGGAACCAAAATAAGCTGCAGGAGGGGGGAGTTCCCCTGGGGCAGAGACCCTTTGGTCTTTTAAAACTGTGGAACTGCGAGTTGCCTGCCCCCTTCAGCAAAATCGGCATAGTGTATTTCTAAAGATTCAGGTAGCAATGGCTTTTATTCAAGAGTTTACATTATACTGAAAAAAAAAGTTCCTTGGAATTTTCATTTTAAATGATCACTTTACCAAAATTCTCAGAAGAATGACTTCAATGCCAAAACCCAGACCAACTGCTACTGGTCTGACAGCTTTTCTGCACGTACCTGAATGAATATTTGTCAGTATATTTTCAAACAGTCCACAGTCAAACAGTGCCATTACTGTCTCTTCATACTCTGGGGAAAGAGATAATTTGATTTAATATTACTGAGTAAAGGTTTACAGAGCCCTACATTAGAAGTAACACAAACCAGTAGTTACTTATTTTCCATCACACTGATTGCTTGAGGTTTTAGGATGTCTTCCTTCTCATACAACCTATATTGAGAAAGAAGGATCAAGTTGTCAATTCTACTTTCTTTTTACTTTTCTACAGATAATAATTCCCTTTTTGGGTCTGCACCACATGAACAGTCCATTTAAAAAAGAGCAATATACTTAAGTCATATTCCATTCCATTGTGCCAGGACTGTGTGATGGCAGGGCTGACCGTACCAATTCCCCCTGACAGATCATGTGACGTTGGACAGAGCTATTCCTGTTCAGTGTTAAAAACCATCCAAGAATTATGCCTCAATTTCATACCTGAAGCTTCTGTTGAAGCAAAATACAAAACCTCACAGAGTTCAACTGACCATTAAGAGGCTTCCTTTGTGATGCAGGCTCGGAATCTCTAATGTGTGCTGGATTTCATTGCTGCTTCCAGCAACTGGTGTCATGTCACACACAAGCTGCTCGTGAAGGAAGACATATCCAGGTGGGAAATTTCACTTTCCATGCATGTGCTTCGGTTACTTTGCATAAAATAGCATTCTTTATGTGAATGTATTACTCATAACTTTGTAAAACCGAGAGGACAATAGGAGAGGAAGGTTTGAAACGTTATTTAATGGTGGTGTGGACAAAGCAACATTTAAACTGGAACTCCCCAAGAACAATGTACTTCAAAGAAGCTGATCAACTGATGAAAATCCCAGACAGGCACTAACAGCTGACAGTTCAGTTGTAACAAATCAGCCGAAGACTTAAAATGTACATACTCGAGATTTTTCACTCAAAAGAAAGTGCTGATATTAACAGACAGCTGGTCCCTGTGTGAAGCTGTAAGAGCAACACAGACTTATGATCCAAATAAAACCTTCCAGTTCTCTTCAGGACCTCTCTCTTTTTCCCTGCCTGGGAGAAGAGGCCACTCTGAACCTCCCTATGCTTATGCCAGTGGGTAAAAAAGTGGCTTTAAAAATTCGAGTTAGAAGGTCTCACTAGAGCATGCTGAGTTGGCAGTTCTTATATAATGTTGAGAAAGAAGTTCCTTGGAATTTTAACTTTAAACAGTCATTTAAAATGGAAGGTCATTCTCAGCCCACTGCACAGCTGCAGAAGTAAGACAGGATTATATTTAGCACTACAGTATGCCCAGGAAGGTGGCCCAGGGCCAAGTATCTGGCATTCAGATTCAGATCCGCATTTCTGCTTTGAAAGCAGAGTCCCCCGTGAGTCTCCATACCTGTTTCTGAAGTGTTGTCATCCATTAGTTTTTCCTGTGCCAGGTGAAGTGTGTCCAGCATCTCTTCAAATATGTCATCTAGAAGCCCAGCTTGTTTGCATTTCCTGACAAGGTCTATTTGGACTGTTAAAACACAAAAACACACTCATACAAGTGATCTGTAAAGCAGGCTTTACTCCCTTTCTTCAGTAACTAAAACTTTTTGGCCAAAATCCTCCCTCCAGTAACAAATACTTCTGCAAATCTCTGGCTCCTCCAGCTACCCAAGCAGCCCTTTTCAATGGGAAAGTGGTCTGGCAAATGTAAGCACTATACTGGGTGTAAAATTCCTTAAGCTCTACGTTTAGCTTCGTTCATCAAAAGCAAATATCTCAGTAACTCTAATGTGCCATTCCTAAAGACTCCTGGAACTCTCCAGTGCAGGAAACAAGTGATTTGTCTTGCTTGTCTTTCTTCCAATCCTTAGGACCACACCATGGACTGAACAGGCTAAAGAAAACAGTGCACAAAGTGAATCAGTATTGGATTTGGTAAAAATTAAGGCTACTTTTACTCCAAATGATCCAGGCATTAAACTTGTTTATTACAGCCCAGTTTACAGACCTACTTTGTCAGATTTGGATTGACAGGGAAATAACTGTCTTATTTTTAATTAATCTTGGAGCAGCAGGTCAGCAGCAAGTCTCAGTAACATCAATGCAATGGGCTGTTCGAAAGGCAAGAGCTATCGGACAGTTCACAGAAGTCTGCCAGTCTCCATCAAAAACACTACGTTTTACTGGAGACATTTGTGAGAAAAGAACCATCATCTCACTTACATGTGATGCCCTACAAGTATTTCAGGATTCTTTATAGATTTTCATGTCCTTTACACTGATAGTAAAAGTTCAGAAAAAAGCACTAGGCAGCCACCTGAAATACCATGCCCATACACTAAGCATATCCACAGGGAGGTGAATAATCACCACTAGCACCTTCCAAACTTCCAGGTGACAGCAGTATCCCAACAAGCAATTGCAGCAGGAGCTTCGGGGTAACATGAAAAGTGCAGCACTGAAGGATGGGTCCTGTGGTCCATTTCACTGTTGTAATATGCTATTTATGCAGTAAAATACTATATTGTGTTAAGCACCCTATGTACACCCAGGCTTCAAAAGGTGCTGCTCCCACATCTCACAGGACCTCCTCAGCTATCCCACTCCAGTGCACCACCCTGCTGAACTCACCTCTCTCCTTCAGGAGAGGCTCAGGACAAGGAGATCAAAGCGAAAGAGGACAGATTCCCTTTTAAATTCAACTGATACAAAACAGGGAGGTGAGGCAGAGGCACCCCCATTTGCAGGAGACACAGAGCTGAACGCAGCAGCCAGAACAGGGGCATTCTCAGGTGAATCACCAGCTCACATCACACAGCAAGTCTCACTCAGCCAAGCCACAGACATTTGTTTGCTGCACAGTCATTCTGCAAATCAGACTTCTGCTGCCATGCTCAGAGCTTGGACAGTCACTCATGCTCAGGAGAACAGTGAAGGTACATTTGCAGCATCGCTGCTATCAGCTATCTTCAAGCTCTGGACTTCAGCATAACAGATCATAATGCCTCCTAGTTGCTCTATAAAGTCAGTCTCACCTTTATGCCTGTTGTTTTTTCTTTTCAGTATTTGTAAATGATTTTCTTCTGCTTTCTCTTCTGTTTTCTGTAAGACAATCAAAACAATATGTTTTTACATCGTACTAACATTTACTGCTGTTTTCATTATCAGAAAGATAGAAAGCAGCCTGCATTTCTGTGAATAGTCAGCTTCTCTGCACAGCTAGAGATATTCCTCTTCAGACATTCCATTTTTAAAATACAAGCAAAAGCTGGTTCAAAGCAAAAACACTAAGAAAAGCCCAACGCCTGAAACACCACCCTCCTTAATCATTTCATTTGCAAATAGCAGAAAAGTTAACAAATGTCTATTGTTAACTCCCAGAGCAGATGATGTTTAGATCCCTAAATCTAAATGGGGACGATTTGGAAGAAAAAGGGGAATTTGTTTTCCTTTGGACAGGATGCAGTCATTCTCTCCTGTTCCATGTCATACCACAGTACTGTGAACATTTCTTCAGTTCTGTCCCAAAACTCCACCAGTGTAAACATGCATTGCTTACACAGTGGTAAACAATTTATCCCACAGTGATAAATCCTGGAACCGCTCAGCTTTTTATTTGCAGTGTTTGTATTGATTTCCGAGATAAGTAGCATGGCAGAGGTCCAGAAACAGAGCAATATTGTGGCTAACAGGTCAAACAAATCTCAGTTATAATACCAGCTGAGAAATTCTTGGAGAAAAATAACCAACCCTTATGACAGTACTACATAAATGCTGCAAAGATCATCCACATCCCCCTCATGTGACCTCCCTTTAACCTCAAGACCTGGGAAAGACAGACTATTTTCCCCAAAGAAAGCTGGACACCAATTCCTATAGAAAGAGGAAATCCCAACCCCTCCAAATGTCAAAGAGAATTCCCACACACACTTCTGTAGAGCCAAGAGAATCACCTCCAAACTTAAAATAAGTTCTATTTACAGGTTTTCTAACAACAGCCTGTAAAACAATTCCCTCTGCAACCAGAGGGATGTTTGCTTGATAGCTCCAAACCCTTGGGAAGGCCATCTGCAGAGTCCAGAACTGCCTGATCTGCAATGAAAGTCTGCCAGGCTTACCGTGAGCACAGTGTGCTCACACAAACAAGTGCAGGTTTAAAAGGCTGACTGACTCATCCAGAGCAGTTTTTCGTGGAAGCCGTGTCAAGCCCTAAGCAAACCTGAGGGGCGTAGTCCTTCCAAAGAAATGGAGCCCCCAAAGGGAAGCTCTTTCTGTCCATGCCAGGATCTCAGCCACCGAGTCAGCCTGGTTTGGAGGGTCCTACTGCATTTGTGCCACGTTACTCAAGGGCAGTGCCGGCTCTGCCTGAAGCGGCTCCAAATGCAAACAGTTTTGGTTTGACAGAATGGCAAGATCCAAACAAGGCAGGTGTAAAGGACAAGCAAACTGCTTCTGTGAGGAAGTCTTTCTCTGAACACACAGTCAAAATACTTCACTAAATAAGTCCTTTGCTGTAGCAGATGTGGGTTCCTGTTTTAGAACTGCTGAAATTCAGAATTACCATTTCTTCCGTGATGGCAGGAGAGGTCAATGTGTATCTTCTCTTCTTATTAGCTGCACCTAGGAATCAAGAAACAACAAAGAAACAAATGCAACAACCTCAGACTGACATCTACATATCATTCAAATTCTCTCTTTTCCCAAAAAGCTACTAAAGTGAGACACTTTGGGTGGCAAGGCAAGAGTACGCTTCAGCTTCCCCAAATACCTGATATTGCAGTGGAATTCACATTATTTCCATCTAAGTAAAATTACAATCCTGAACCATAAGAAAAAAGTGCAAATCACTGTAGCATTAGGATATCGCTTTACCTCAACAGATTTTTGATTGTTGCAGAGTGAACTTGTTCTCCCTGGCAGCAGCACTACCTCTAGTGGTAAAAACTTCCAGCAAATTTATAAAAAACTATTTTTTTTTTTTAAAGACAACTCTTGTTTATGTTAATACACCCTCAAAATTAATACTGCATAAAGAATTATTTTAGGTGTCCCAAAGATATACAAATGGCATTAGGTTTTTCACTGATCTAATAACCCTCCTAGAAAATCTCCAGAAGCAGTTTGACTTGTAACTTGAATATTATTTATGCTACGAAGTGTTTTCAGTGACGTGGTATGAAATCTCTGCAAAATCATCTGCTTTCACTGCGTCCTTTCCATTAGCATGCACCAGCCTCTTGCCAGCATCCTAACTGGCAGCTTTTGGAAACAGCTACAGTATCAGAGAAGAATAACTCTGGCAAGGAAGACATGGCAGGAGCAGAGAAATCCTGAGAAGAGTTCAACCACCCAACAAAACCTGAGGATTTTAAGTGCTGTGGGGTTATATGCCTCCTTCCGTATTTAAGTCCAGAACCTCTGGACAGCACTTTAGTAAGGTCTTTCCTGTTAGAAAGCATCCTGTCAAGAGGAATGAGGTGTCACTGTTGTACAAGGAGGCTGCTGAAACAAGTTTGGGCTTTGGGTACTGATGCCGTACATTTGTATTTTCCATGGTGTGAAAGAAAATCATAGCCTCCGACTTGATCCAAAATAAAGTTGCATGGCCTAATTTGCGTCCAGGAGACACAGGTGTAGATACAAAGTGTTCCTTGTATGACATCTTTGACATGTGATGGGATTTTCTAAACTCTCCCTGATATCTGCCGTGAGGTTGTCTTATACAACAAGAGGAACATAGTCCGAAGAGCAGCCCAACCCCTCTTGCCCTGCACAGTGCCTGCTGCTCTGTGTCAGCCTTTACTCTGTCCATATCCAACATTTCCAGTTAAGCAGAGGTTTGAGCCTGTTTCCAAGCCCAAACTGCCCTCCTGTCCCTGATGTGTAGAGCTGCAAAGAGAGTTCTTGGCCCCTAAGGCATCTTATCTGCTTCCAATCAAACAGCAGAGCCCTGACAATTCAACACAAGAACATTGTCTCAACAAAGAACAAGGGGACGTTCCTTGACCCTATTTTCTTAAAGCTACTGGGGAAAACAGGCCTGGATAGGCAGCTCGTGCTCCCACACAGCCCAGTGCTGGCTCTGCCTGCCCCAGAGGAACAGCTGAGTTACTTTATCCAAGTTGGATCCTGAAAGTCAGAGCTACCATGAAGCCAGAGCACTTCCATCCCAGCCTGTCTTTCTCATCGCCCTGTGCAGACCTGCACACAACTCAGCACAGGTGTCCCTGCCTGCCCAGATGGCCCTGATGGAGCACCTGCTACTTCAGCCAATTCCCCGGCTGATTCCCCCAGCTATTCCGAGTGCCACGTGTGCATCTGAGAGCTGCTTATAAGCAAGAGATCTTTGGCTTGGGGAACAGCTACTCTCTCAGACAGGTAGGAGAAGCTGATTTAGGAGGCAGGGCAGACACTGCCAAGAGAATCCATTTACCCCTCAGAGGGTCTCCAAATTAGGTGCCTCTGGAAAAACTCTAGGAGAAAGCTCTGTTCTCAGGGAATAGGCCATACATTGTATGTGCACCATTTGGCAACACAAAGACCTTCCAGTACCTAAAGAGGGCCTACAAGAAAGCTGAAAACTGACTTTGTACTTGTATGTACAAAGGGCATGTAGTGACAGGACAAGGGGGAATGGCTTCAAACTGAAAGAGGGCAGGTTTAGTTGAGATATTAGGAAGAAATTCTTTCCTATGAGGGTGGTGAGGCACTGGAACAGGTTGCCCAGAGAAGCTGTGGCTGCTCCATCCTTGGAAGCATTCAAGGCCAGGTTGGATGGGGCTTTGAGAACCTAGTCTAGTGGAAGGTGTCCCTGCCCATGGCAGGGAGACTGGAACACGGTGACCTTCAAGGTCCCTTCCAACACAAACCATTCTGTGATTCATCTTCATAAGATTTAAGGCCTCCTTATGAAGGAAGTGGTCTACAGAGCTAGACCTAATACCTTAATCTCATCTCATACTGGAAACAAAGCAATCCCGGCCCTGTCCAGTACTGGAGCGGGAAACTGCTTGGGACCCTGGACAGACCCAACAGACTGACAACCATTAGACCACAGAAATCAAATTATTTTAAGAAGGGAAGGAAGGTCAGAACTCAGAACTATGGATAAATAAAAAGCAGAGCTGCTAAGCAAACTAAGAAGCTGCATTTGGTTAGTGAACCACAGCAATATCAGATATTAAACAGAGGTATGTCTGGCTAAGAAGCCCCAAACACTATGACTAAAACTTTAAATAACCCCTTAAGTGGCATCATGGTGGAGCAGGACTTTGTCAAGAAGATTGGTCAAAATTTGCTAGACCCCAGTGGGAGCACACCACTCTCAGCATGAATGCTCACGGTCCAACTGAGCTTCACTTCACAGTAAAGGTTAGTCTAGGACCCACTTCACTTTGAGCAGGGTTGCGTGCATTAGATTAATAAAGTCCAGCTTTGGCTGGTTAATTCAGTGAGATTTCCAGCTACCACTGATTCAGCAAGGATCAAGACTGCCAAACTAAGCTGCATTTCTGTAGCACAGGAAGAAATCCTTAAACAGGTTGTATAACCCTTTTGTTACACTGAAAAAGTTCTTTGGAATCCTTCAGAATGAAAGGCTCTATTTTAGAAACTACTGCAGTGAATACAGAAGATGCAAACATGAATGTCTGAACATAACTACAGATAAAATCTCAAGGTGACCTCTTCCATAACAGCCTGTCTTTGCTAATCAAGTGCAAACTTGGCTCTCCTGTCTCACATGGACTTTACAAGCTGCCTGGGCCTACCTGCCGGAACAGAGTCAGAATAATTCCAGGAAGGATCAGGTCCATGGTGGTTTAAGTCAGTTTTGAGGGAGATTTAGGGAAGATTAAATTTAAGCATTCTTCAACTAAATTTAAACATACTTCAAAAGACCTTCTTGATTTTTGTGCATACATGTGGATCTCAACCAAACCACTCCTGCAAGGTCAGAAATCCACCACTCAGTATGAAGGTGGAGTAACATTTATTTTGTTCAAATGAATTACTGACTGTAAGATGCAAACTTTTAGAACAAATGAAATCAATGAAGGCATTAAAGAAACTCACCATAGTGACTGGTCCTATTGCTTGGGTCATGTTTTGGGCAGAACACTCTAAAATTTCAGTTCAATTTTAAGGAAAAGAGAAAAAGTGTTAATAAATATGTAAACAGAGTTATGCTGACTAATTTTAATAGATATTTCCCCCTCTTTTCATTGAACATAAACTGAAAGACACTTAAAAAGAATTATCAGAATTTTTGTTCAGCATTACCCACCTAGGAAAGCATCTGCTGTGAAGTCACAGGCCATGCACAAGCTTGCATCTGTACTTTTAGAGCCTCGCTGGACTCTCAACACTGAAGCCTTGAATGACCAGTTCCATCAGCCCACTCTGCCCAGACCCGCCCACTGCTCAAATCCCGAGTCAGACACACTTCATCTGCTGTGGCGATCGCTGCGTCAGAGGCAACTCTTACTGGAACGAGGTTAATGCTGCCAAGGGGAAACACCACAGAACTAACATTCTGCTCCCTCGCCCTGCACCACCACGCCAGGAACCTCTCCAGCCACACCTGCTCACCAGACAGCTTGAATTTAAGAGCCCTGCTTGATGTGCTGGTAGAGCTGCACAGCACCACCACATACAGTGCCAGAGACTTCCTTGGAGATCTCTGTGTCCCTCCATTCCCACTGCCTGTGCTGACAAGGTGGTTCTCAAATCCTGAGGAAGTCGGGCACCCTGTTTGAGATCCAGTGGCTTAAAGCTGCTCAATCCATTCCTTAAAGGCTTTAGTAGTATGCAAGATGGGAATATTTTCACTGGTTCTAGGAGAGCAATGTGAATTCCTTGGAAGAGGCTAAATGCCACAAATATAACTGGAAATATTCCTTATCTTCTGGTTACAATAACGTGCAGAGAACATGAACTAGCTTTTATAATATGCCTTTCTTACAGAAGGATCCCAATTCACTTTTTAAGCAAAAATGCCTTATAAAGAGCATGGTTTAGTTGAACTCTTCCTTACAAATCTATTTGCCAAGCCTACTGCTCAAGCCCTTGGAAGTAATTTTTAAAGGTAACTGCATTTACTAGGACATTTTCTAATTATTGCCATTCTTTTGTTTTAACAAAAATAAAAGCACTGCCCTTAGAAATGCAGTCTGTTTCCCTGATAAGCCAGCTTTTTTGCATGAAACATATTTTTACGCACAAAAAAAATCAGATTTAGGTATGCCTAACAATCAGAAAGCTAAGTAATGGAGACACCTTATTTACATTCCTGAATATCTAATATTGTCCTTTGGAGTTTGTTTTTCTTTCTTTCCCTCCCTTCAGTTTTAGTCTTTCCTAGTTAGAAACAACCCTCCTACACACAAGAATATCTTATAAAGAACAGACAATATATTTTACTACTCAGGCCACTTCACTTGGAAGCACTGCCCTACTATCATTTTTGCAAGACAGCGTAACAAATTGCACTTATTTCCCCACCTGTACTCTTACTGGCCACTTCCACAGCACCGTATGCCTCCTCTTTTTGCTGCTGCTTTATTTGCTTTGATAATCACTGCTCATCATCACAACAACAGCAACTCAGGATTTAAAAGCACCAGCTCTATCTCTCTCAAAGGAATTCTCTTTCTTGATGTGCTTTTTAGTATGTCATATTTCACCATGAAAAAGTGCAGGGGTTGTCAGTCCACATCCACTCTTTTTCAAGTCTACTCTCCAATAATTTCAGGCTAGCTACAATTTTTGCACTTTATTTATGCCATTGATATGGTGCAAAAAATCTTCAGGTTCCTTGAAGCCTGCCTCACTGTCTTTCTCTAATCCAGTCCTTTCCCATCCCTCCAATACAGGTTGCTATAGTCAACTTTCCTGTATTATTGCCATGTAGGACACACAACCAGTCTCACAATGACATTTTTAAGGGTCTCTCTTCCAAACCTCCAAGGTCACCAGCTCAAAAACCCACTAAATCAAACTATATATTCAACCACTGCTTTACCAGTTTCCATCTAGAAAGTCCCACTTATTTTTCAACATCTTGAGAAGTTCAGTCTTCTTGAGCCCGAGTTATCCTTTCTAAAGATATATAATGAAAGCCATTTATTCTGTGATCACAGGAAGCTTCCATCTTCCTAGCTACAGTCTTCCATGAGCTTGGCAGACTTCCAAAGACTTTATAAACATAAACCAAACACACCATCTTCCCTATACAGCTGGGCTTACAGCCTTGCGCAAAGACATATTCATTTTACACTGAGAGCCCTAGTGAAGCAGCCAGGAGTGCAAGTGCTTTGGTACGAAAGGACCCATCTTCCACTGCTACTAAGGACCGCACTAGTCCACCCTTTCTGAAACAAAAAGTGATTAGATGATCCCCTAGATTAATCTAAGGCTAACCTGGCCTGTGATTTCTCCAGCCTTGCACAGAAATGAACATCAGGGGTTTTATGCACTTTAGACTTTACCACAACTTCAGCATTTCGAAAGGTCCCTGAAGTCCCAATTTCTCAACCACTTCATGTGCATCCTGAAAACAACTTGTTCCATTTGTTATTGGCAAGGCAGGCAGCCCAAGGGCAGAGGACACCAGAACTAGCATGATCAGGACAGACACTTAGAATCCATTTAGTCACGTTAATGCTAGTAGTGTACTTGAATTACAAGGTCTTTCGTGGGAATCAAAGTTCTCTGCTAGTACAGGGGAGGAAAATTACCGGAACTTGCCTAATGTGAACAGACCTAGAAGTACTATAGCCTACTTGTGCTCAGACTGCATTTACTGGAGCTTCTGAACAAACAAAAATAGAGAATTTCCATGATATTAATAAAAATCTTCGTCCTTGAAGATTAGCTAGATAGTCAGTAAGGACTGCCTGCCTCAGTTTTGGCCTAGTGAACTTTCAGGTATGTTACAGGCTCAAACACTAAACAGATTACCCCCCACTGCTGTGAACTTTTCCTGTGAAAGGAAAACTTTTCCCCCGGTGCTTGAAAACAGAGGATCAAGCATCACTTCAAGAGAGGAAAAAACACTTCCTTTTCTAAAAAAACCTTTAAAAACCACATGACTTTTAAGTCTCTCTTCCCGACACCCCCATTACCCCCATAAAAACGCTAACAGTGCTTAGTCAGAAAACACTTGGGTAAGTACCGGTAGACTCCCTTCACTTGGTCGGTTTCTATGGCTGCGTCGTCGCAGAGCGCGCAGAAGTAGTGGTAGCTCCTGCGGCAGGCTCTCTCCTCACAGCCCACAGTGGCTCCTTTCTTGCGGCAGAAGTTGCACACCTAGGAAGGAGACGGGGTGTAGCAGGTAAAAGTCACAGGCGGCTACTGAAAATCTTGCCACGTAAGGCAAACACCATCCCCTGTGGGAAAATCCAGTATTTCGTTGCAAGTCACCTCTGTGTAACTCATTAGGCAAGCTCACTCCTGCAAATTCCTACCTTGGTCATAATTTCGGCCACCTTTTCGCTATCTTTACCTCTACTTTATACTGATACATTTGTAAGATGATGCAAAGAGCCATGTGAGGGCACTGGGTAACTCCCCCAAGTTATTTCAAGACCAACTGGTATTAGTGTTATATACCAACTGGTATTTATGTTTTCTAGGATAACTTCATAATGAAAAGAGTTCCACCCAGGATGCAGGGGAGGAGGGCAGCTGAAGACAAAACCAATTACAAAAAATCCCTCATATAAATGGCCTTCTTTCTGCTAAACACAGAAGATGCTTCCCTTTACACTTATGGATTGCATGCCTTTGTTTCAGGCACTGGTTTAGTCCTTTACCAAAGTCTTAGGAAACTTCGACTAAGGACTCAGAGGTCAGGAAAAACCAAACAAACGAACACCTGCATTTTAATACAGAATGAACTAAATTTCACAGAATATAATGCGAGTGATTCTAACACTAAATCTGTAATTTCCTTAATCTTAGTAGATCCAAAGGACCAGATACTTTTATGCTGATTCTTTTTAAAGCACAGGACAAGCCAGACAACCTTCAGTACTATGAGACTGGACTAAGTGCAGATTCAGAAACAAACTCCTTACCAGCCGCTTTCCTCTCCTGAGCTCTTTCAACACTGATGCCACATCAAACCTTATATCCAGATTTTCTGGGTTATACTCTTCAGATTCCACAAATCCTGAGGAAAATAACTAAAGACAAAAGTGACTCAGTAACCAGTACAGAAAAGAGATGAAGAGCACATCTTTTCTTCTTGCGCTTGCCCTACCTAAAGAGGTTGATTTTCCTCCGTGTTTTTAATAGGCTTCACCTACGCTAAATACGGAGCCACACTTAAATATTTTTGCAGTCAAAGGAAGCTCCTCTTCTACACGGGAGATTTCACATGATGTGAAAGTGAACTAAGAAAAGATAATAAGGTAAGAAACTTATTAAGGAACACAAATGAAGAAAATGTGGACTTCCAGCCTGCTCAGAGTTAAGGAGGAGAAGCCAACAGACCTCCACACCTTGAAAATCTTGTTATGTGCTCAGTTCTTAAGACTTACAGCTGGATGCAATATTTCTCCCTAGTAAGATTTCCATATAGCCCAATGTTGACAACAGTTGACTGCATGAGGACCATAGGAACATTTTACAAAGCCTGAGAGAAATCCACAAAAAATATATATACATGCACACTTGGACCACTTTAATTCCCACAGAACTGCTGAGCCATGACGATGAGTGAGGAAGGGGAAGTTCTTGACAACTATTTCCCAATAATTATAAATAGCTAATTCCAAACAAAAGGGAGCTACCCTTTCATCAACTGGTAGGCACAGTCTGTCTGCTCAGAAGGTGATAGCTAACTGCAAAAAGCCCAAACAGCACAGATAAGTCTAAGGCAAAGAAATGAGTAAAGTTACTGGCAGGAGAGAAGGAAGGAGAGAGAGAGAGAAGAGAGAGGAAGAAGTTTCAACACTGGGGCAACATTAAAGCCTTAATAAAACTGGTTTCAACCAAAGCATCCAAGTAACACTGCAAAAGAAGTATCAAATGTTTCTGAAATATTCTGTGACAAAAAGAACTAACCAACCCAAAAAAAGTAGCTGAAAAATAAAGATGTAGACATAAAAACTGTGAGAATAAGAAGGCTGGAACACCGAAAGCCAAAAAACTGTTCTAGCCACAGACATGTCCTGCACTAAATGACCCTCAGCTATATTCTCCCTCTCCTTAAGAGAGAATACAGCATCTGTACTTGATTCTGCATACCAAGAGCCACCTCCACCAAGATTCCAGAATAAAGGGGAGGCATTCTGACAGCAAGAAAAGTAAATGCGTTCTAGGATCACAGCACATTTCAAGCTTCACAGATATTTTTATATAATATATTTATGATTTTTATTTCTTATTTTTAATTAGGTACAGATTGGGAAGTTTTCTTACTTTCATGTATTAAGTGTCCATTTTCCTAAAAAGGTTTCAGTAAGTACACATCTTCCTGTGTGCAGATAAGAAGAACTTCCTTCTTATCCAACTTAGTGTCTCAAGAAGACCTATTACTACTAGTACACTGTATGTGTGCCTAGAACCACTGATCAGCAACAGACACACATGAAAACACCACAAATCAACATGTTCAGCTGTGCAGCCATGGCCTCTCCCACTCCAAAATCCTGGCCAAGCCCTGCTGCTTTTCACAGCTTTTCAATCTAATATAAACTTGCTGGTTTGAGTAACCAGCCTTTCAAATCAGACACCACCGTGTCTGATCCACCATCAGAACAAAGGAGCAGTGGAAATTTCTCAATTATCCCTTCTTTTCCACTTGTCTTAGGTACCGACTGACTAAAAGCCACTCACCAGACAATCCTGATGAGCTGCAATGTCTCTCTCTTTGGCAATATACATTACAGAACCAGCCTCCCCTTCTGAACAAAAGGCACACGTTCTTCTCACCATCTTCGCCATTATCCAGAAAGCACCTAGAGCGGGAAAAAAACTGGGACAAAACACAAAGCAGTTGATGCAACTACCATATGCCAAGCAGGACAGAGGAAAGCAGAGATTGCTAGCACTTGCCCTCTAACTGCTCCTTCTCTTACATCTCCTGAACCTTGGTGCTTTGCTCCTCCAGCAACAACTATAAGTAGAACAGGCAAAGCCCACTCTCGGGACAGCAGTGGGATAGAAACCAGCTCACAGGAGCTCCAGCTGTTAGAGCAGGAGGAAAAGTGGTTTATCTCTTCTTGTGAAATCACTAACAAGTCATAAGGGGCAATACAAGTTTTTCAAGCTTGCTTGGCAATATCTGCCTCAACAACAGGAGTAGCCCAGCAAGTCATGCCCTAAGGAATGAAACTCCTTCTACTTGGAGAAGGTCAGTTACTCATAACAGCGCTTTTCTTAAAGTACTTTTACCACATGTGGGTCTGCAGGTCAGCAGAGGAGAGAAAAACAACTGTCCCCAAACTTCTACAGTGCCTTCCAGGAGTTCACAGAAAACAAGGAAGAAACACTTATTCCTTACTGTAAGAAAGATGTAGCAAAGAAGCACGGAAAGGCCTGCAAGTAAGAGGGGGCAGAAGACAGAATCAGAAATGAGAAACTTGAACATTCTCTCTCAAAGAGGTGAAGCGCTAACAGGAGTGACAGAATTTTCTCTATGCCCTGGGATTTGTCCCAGGAACACCTGTTCTCTTTTCCTGGCTGTATCCACTCAAGTCTTAATTTTTGTTCTTCACACAGTCTCTCTTTTCATCCAGCAGCTGCAAAACTTTGAGGCCATCTACTTATTTCACAAAACCAGTCTACATGCATTTGGACGAGACTTCACGCACATCCCCCACTGGTAGTTTTTAGAGCACCACACCACAACATCAGTAGCAGAAGTTTTACTTTGTGGTTTTTTGTGCAAGTCCACCGCAGAAATCTTCAACAACTTCCTACTCCTACTAGGTGTGATATTCCAAACTGTCCTTTGCTGGAGACGTCACCTCTGACACCACAAACTCCTGTATGACAAGGGAAGAAAAATCTGCGTTTACTTTCAAGAAATAAGATCTGAAGCTAAATTACCCTAGTGAGAGAAAGGCAGTAAGCCCCAAGTACAAAATCTCATAGTCCAGCAAATCTTGCAACCTTTATCTGGCTTTCAACAGACAAACTGTTTTCATAAGTTCCCATCTCCCTTGCATAAAACAGACTGGACGGTACCAAGTGAGAATTGCACCGGAGTAGAAGGGGATTTTTTATATGTTTTCTCCCCTCTGGCTCATGCTACTGAGAGTTTACTTCATCACAACAAGCCACTTTACTTTCACACACATCTGGGGAGTTTTCCCCCCACACACAACCTTCTACCTCTTGTAAGCAAGGCAGGATAGGGACTGATTTCCAATATTCATCTACACAGTCTCCATCACAACAGTTTCAGAACTTAAGCATTAAATAAATATGACAGAAACAAACAGAAATATATATAAACACCAGAAACAGAACAGAACACAGACAGAAATTAAAAAGAAGAACCAAGTGGAGTTTGAATGGTCTAGAATGCAGGAAAAGTTCTCTGCAGCAAGCTAACACCTGGAATTGATGCAGATACATAGGCTCTGCTCAGGCCCAGTCAGAAGACCCAGCTCTAGGAAATTTGTGAGGAAGAGGCTAAAGATGGGAGTCTACAGTCCCTGGTGTTCTTACAGGCTCAGAAGAGATCACTTACCAAAAAACATCACAGGTAAAACAGACTCAACTTGGGGATATTAACTGAATTTATTACTAATAAAATCAGAGCAGGATAATGAGAAGTAAAATAAATCTTAAAAACACCTCCCCCCACCCCTCCCTCCTTCCCAAGCTCTATCTCCTTCCCCAGTGGTGCAGGGAGATAGGGAATTGAGGTTACAGTCAGTTCATCACATGTTGTTTCTGCTGCTGTTCAGGAAGAGAAGTCTTTCCCCTGCTCCAGCATGGGATCCCTCCCACATGAGACAGTCCTCCCTAAACTTCTCCAGTGTGAGTCCATCCCACAGGCAACAGTTCTCCACAAACTGTTGCAATGTGCATCACTCTTCCATAGGGTGCAGTCCTTCAGGCACTGCCTACTCCAGCATCGGTCTCCCCCAGGGCCACAAGTCCTATACCACGAAACTTGCTCCAGTGTGGGCTCCTCTATCCTTGGGTCTGGAGGTCTCTCCCAGGAGCATGCTTCAGCATGGGTTTCCCATGGATTCACAGCCTTCTTTTCAGGCACCCACCTGCTCCAGCGTGGGTCTCCTCCAGGGGCTGCAGGTGATTCTCTGCATCCCCATGGTCCTCCATGGGCTGCAGGGGCACAGCTCCTTCACCATGGGCTACCCTAAGGGGCTGCAAGGAACACAGCTCTGGTATCTGGAGCACCTCTCCTCTCCTTCTCCACTCAGCTTGGTGTCTGCAGAGTTTTCTACTATCCTCTCACACACACACATACATAACTATATAGTTTTCTACTACATCCTCTTAAGTATTTTTACTCCCTTCTTAAACATGTTATCACAGAGGCATCACTATCACTCCTGATTGCCTTGGCCTTGGCCAGTGGCAGGTCCATCCTGGAGCCAGCTAGCATTGTCTCTTGTCTGATACGGGGGAAGCTTCTAGCAGCTTCTCACAGAAGCCACCCCTGTAACTCCCCCGCTATCAAAACCTGGCCACATAAACCCATGACACCCCCACAGGAGCCTTGCTTCAGTTCCTTGCTCTTCCCTAGCTTTCTGCTATGGAGTACTGCCGAGAAGAGGACATGGAGCTGAACGAGGCAATAGATCTGGCTGGGTCTCCCATGCAAGAAGGGGGAGGCTAAGGGCAGGGTTCCAGTTTCACAGTTTAATTACGTTTTCACCTAAACAACATCTTGCTTTTGCAGGGCTTAAGTCAGCCACTCATGGACTCCAGTGGAACCCCAGGATCTGTCTGAAAAGGTACAAATTCCTTGTTCTTTACTCTGCTCTTTCAGTTGCATTCATGACAGGGCAGTTCTTATTTCTCCTACTGTGTCTTGTTCCAGTTGAGGAATCTGTTCCTTGTACAGAAGCTGGTCTGCATCTTTGATCACCTCCGCCACTTCTCAATCCCTTCTCTACTCTTACTATGCTCCAAGAGGAGCAAGCCATCTCCAAAAGGGCAGGCTACCATTTACACTACAAAGTCGCTCTGTACCCTTTTCTTAATAACTCTTAAAACTCTAATCACACTTTAGACTGCTTCTGAGCAAAGAGCTGACACTTTCATAAAGCTATTGCTGGAAGCACAAAGCAGTGAAGAAAATGCAAAGCTCAACACGCGATGAGGCCCACAGTGATGAGAGCAGACATGGAAAATGGATGGAGGGCCAGTGGTTTGCGCTACTACAGCATCTGGGATGGATGTGAGGAGGGGTGGGAGCCACGTGGTCTCATTCTTCCACTTGCTTACCAAGCCTGCACCAACTACTCTTCCTAAGTACACCACGCAGTGCGACCACAAAGAAAGGAACGTTGGGCAACAGTCCCAGCCACAGCACGTTGCACAGTAACGGTGAATAAGGCATAAAAGTACCCCAATTCATACTGAACTGGGAAGGTGAGAACACAACATGGAAACTGTAGGGATAGATCGACAGGTTTGTCCTCCTCACCCTCCCCAGAAGGGATACCTTTCAGTGAGACTTGTGTACTTGGCTACACCAAGTCACACAATCACAGGATCAACCAGGTTGGAAAAAAAATCATTGAGTCCAACCTACGACCAAACGCCACCTTGTCAACTAGACCATGGCACTGAGTGCCATGTCCAGTCTTTCCTTAAACACCTCCAGTGATGGTGACTCCACCATCTCCCCGGGCAGCACATTCCAATATCTAATCACTCTTCCTGTGAAAAAGTTCTTCCTGATGTCCAACCTAAACCTCCCTATGAATTCACCCAGAACATTAAGCTGTGACTGCAGTTGTATTGTTAGTGCTTTCTAGAGCTATTCTGCAATGACACGCACATATTTCAGACAACCCAAAAGAACCTCATATATTGCATTTAATAAACCATACTCTTCGTGAACCCGACCAGCTCCTCTGAATGTGACCAGACCTACAGTTAATTGACTATCCCTGCACCCATTGTCAGGCCTAGAATTGTGGGTTTGCAACAAGTATGTATTACAGACAGATCCCTTTCCTAAGTGGCATCAGATAGTGCAGAAGACATCAGCACTACAGTTACTGCTCTGACATATCAATCATATTCCACTTATCGATGTTGGATTTTCATCTCCTGTTTTAATAGTCAATCCCTTGCTGTCACAAAGTCCTTCTGCAACCCTCGGCTTCCACTTCCACTGTCACAGGAGCAGGCTGTGGGAACCCAAAGGGACCAATTCACCTACACGAATGGGAGGCCCTTCCACTGCCCTCCAGTCAGAAGACAGAGATGCAGCTGAGAGAAAGGAACAGTCACACCTGGCTGCTTCCTCTGTACCTGTGCCATTTCCTCGAAGCAAGGCTGTTGGGGTTGGTTTTGTTTTCGCAACAGTGACAAAAGGCAAGAAGCCGGGAAAGGAAACAGAAAGTGAAAAAGGACAAGAACATTGTTGGCAAGAGCACACTTGTGTTACTTCCAAATACGTCCTGCTGAAACATCTCCAGACCCAGTTCTGAAAGCATCCTTGCATGTAAATACACGTATTTTACACGGGAGGCACAGAATGTCACGTGGCACATCCATAGGGGGGAAAGGAAAAGAACCCAAGTGCCCTGACTTCCAGCAGGCCAAAGAAACCCACCGCCTCAGCTCCAGCTCTGCTCTTCTCTTCCCCGCGGCGCAGCGAAGGGTTGGATCTACGGAAGCAGGAAGACAGAAGGAAATGACACATCAGCTCCCCCCCACACTCACCGTGCCCCCCGTTTCCGCTTTGTGGGAGAAGAAGCCCAGCTGGAGATGGGACGGGTTAGGGTTAGGGATGGGATGGCTCGACCCACAGGGGTCTCTCCCCATTAACCCTAAGTCATTACAGCACAAACACAGCCTTTGCAAGGAACAAAAGCAACCAAAATCTGCCCTTCTGATCACCTTTCACTTGGGGTCACCTCGTTCCAAACCCCTGCCATGGGCAGGGGCATCTTCCACTAGACCGGGCTGCTCAGAGCTCCCTTCCACCTGGCCTTGAACACTTCCAGGGACAGGCACCCACAGCTTCTCTGGGCAGCCTGTGACAGGGCCTCACCGCCCCCACGGTAAAGAATTCCTTCCGGACACCCACCCTAACCCCGGAGCCGCCTCACGGCCCGCCCGGCCCGGCTCCGGGCGAGCCCCGGCACGGCCCATTCATTGGCACTGCGGGGACGGGGGGTGTGGGGGGGAGTGACCAGCACTCAGGAGGGGCCGAGTCCCACGCGCTCCCCCCCCCCGCGTGCCCTCGGTGGCACTTACCGCCCGCTCGCGGCCCGGCTCGCGCGCGCCGCCGCTCCCACCGCCCCTTCCCCCGCCCCCAGCGCTCCCGCGAGGAAGTGGGCGAGCCCGGCTGGGCCCGGAGCATGCGCGGTGGCGCCCGCCGATGCTCCGCCCGGCGCACCCCTCCCTCCGGGCGCTGATTGGCTGCGGCCCCCGGGGCGGGGCCTGGGACCCGGAGCACGGGTTCGATACCCGCGGCCGGCGCTCTCGGCGCGTCGCCCGGCAGCCGCTTCCAGAGGGCTTTTCCCATGGGAAAGGCGACAGCACCCGTTCACTTCGCCCAGAATCACAGAATCAATTAGGCTGAAAAAGACCTCTGAGATACCGAGTCCAACACGTGACCGAACGCCACCGAGACAAACCAGGCTGTTGGGAAAATCTTTATTTGTAACAAATAGCGTTGTACGAGGGAAAAAAAAAATTCTTAAGAAAGAATGTTCTTTGATGTTTGATCTTTGTAACCTTCAAGACTAATGAACAAGAAGGAAGATTCAATCCATGAAAGAGATGGCAGCCAACAAACAAGATTTAAGTGATGTCCAGATGTTAGAAAAACAAATTGAAGTTTAGGACATGGCATGCTTCAGTGATTGCATGCTTTTGATGATTGCAGACCTGGGAGAGGAGGTTGACATAGTTTGGGAAGAAGGATGTAGCACTGAAAGCGGGACAGAAAGAATGCAGAATTTACAGGCCACAAGGACATTTGGCAGAACTCATGAGATAAGGAAGAAACAAGTGACTGTGCTGAAATCAGCCCCAAGTGCATAAAAGGTAATTCTGGCAGGGGGGATCAGAGGCCACTGATCCACAGACCAGGAAACCCAATGACCCTAAAGAAAGGAGAAACTGAGCATGCAACTAATAAGCATGAGAAGAGAGAGAATCATTAACTGATAGAAGATAGAATATGAATATGGGAACAATGTAACTTGCAGCCAATGAACACTAATTTCTTGATTTGCTAAAGTGTATAAATAGTTAAAAGTTTTGATTATTGGTGTGCATGTGTCAGGAGGAGCAATTCCCCCACGCACCTTGAGCCAAAGAAACTGTAATGCCTGCTCAGCTTTCTAAAATACTGAAATTACAGTGTTACAGAGTTTTATTTTCCCAACATTTTCAGTGACAATTTCTGGTGATCCAGATGGAACCCTGCAACCAATGCTTGACGGATTCACAGAATCGAGAGGACTCCAGAACACGCTAAAGGTTTTCCAAGGAGATCCTCCAGTCCCCTGATCTGTTTAGTTCAGGGCATGGCCCCTGGGCTTTAGTAAGGCATTACTGGGGGGGCATAACAAGGCTGCTGGAAAGTCTTGCTGGATTAATTAAAGGGAACTTGGAAACTAGGTTTTGGGCTAGTTTGCACATTATGATGGGGACACCCAGAGTGCCAGCCCTACGGAAGGTTAAAAAGTGTGAGCAGGTTTTGCACACCCCTCAGGGCCAAAAGTGTGAGTGGCTGTTGCACGTCACTCTCAGAAGGAAATGTAACTGTGTTTTACTATATTCTATGAAGGGTTCTGGTCAATCATCAAAAGGGGGGGCTTTGGAGAAATCATCCCTAGGATGTATTTTGAAAGAGTGGAGGGAGGTGGGAGGTGCAACAGGAGGCTCTCTCTCCAGAGAGAGCAGTTAATTGAATATTGTAATAACTGGTGGCCTTTGTACTCTTTGGATGATGGTGAAAAATGGCCAAAGAATAGAACTTTAAGTTATAATACAATGAAAATACTTTGTGAGCACTGATGCATACAGGCTTGGAACACCAACCATACAATTAACACATGAATAGCAGGTGGTTCTTCCAAGACTCATTTATCAAGGAACAAAGCAAGGTGTGGGTACAAGTTTCACAGTGACCTTTTCCGTTGCAGGTAATTTGACTACAAGCCAACCACTTTATTCCATAAATGACAGCCTGAGTGAGCCTTCTTTGAGCTCTCCCTGCTAAGCAGCTGGCTGCATGGCAGTGATCTCCCCGTCAGCTGGGACACCTCTCACAGTTACTCCTCGAGGCTGGGAGACCCCTGCCCAACTACAGGTCCCTGGTAAGTGACTGATATTGCACATAATCTTGTATTAGAGTGCACTTGATTTTGTATTGGTAATTGTTTTTGTGTTGGTAATTTTAAATCATTATTATATCCTGTGTAGTAACAGAGTAAACCTTGCCGTCAAACTTTGTTAAGTAACACTGTTACAACATCTTTAATAAAACCACTTTTTTCTGATACCATTGCTGGTGGTTCTTCAAGCGGTGTAAATCGCCCGCCTGCAACACCTCCTGCTTTGCACAAGGCTCCAACACATTTAAAAGCCATATGCCTGTACACCCATCCCTTGCTCCACTTCAGGGTCACCTCCTGCATCTGCACTCAGTGTCCCCTAATGTAGCCTGTTTCTCTATTACCAACAAACCACATGGCAAGGACTTCTGTGGCCCCCTTGTCCCATGTTACACACATAGCACTGAAATGAGGTACACTGGATTTCTCAAGCAGTTCTCTGAGTGTCACAAACATGGAGAGGGATGCCTTTTATGACAAGGTAACCCACCTAGTTCATTAAGGGAAGCCAGTTGATGTAATCTTTCTGGATTTCAGCAAAGCTTTTGATACTGTCTCTCACAGGATCCTTCAGGACAAAATGTCCAGCACACAACTGGATAAACACACCATGTGGTGGGTGAGCAGTTGGCTCACGGGTGGAGCACAGAAGGTAACAGTGAATGGGGTGACATCAGACTGGTGACCTGTCACTAGTGGGGTTCCACAGGGCTCCATCTTGGGCCCTATGCTCTTCAACATCTTCATAAATGGCTTGGACATTGGACTGGAATGGATACTGCAGATGTTTGCAGATGACACAAAACTGGGAGGAGCTGTTGAGTCCCTCGAAGGCAGGGAAGCCCTGTAGACAGATTTCAACAAATCAGAGGGCTGAGCAATCACCAACCACATGAAGTTCAACAAGGGGAAGTGCTGGATTCTGCAGCTGGGATGGGGCAACCCTGAATGTTTGTACAGACTGGGAAATGAGGTGCTGGAAAGCAGAACCCTGGAAAGGGACCTAGGGGTCCTGGTCGATGGCAAGTTGAATACAAGTCAGCAGTGCCCTGGCAGCCAGGAGGGCCAACCACGCCCTGGGAGGTCGGCATCAGGAAAAGCGTCGCCAGCCAGTCAAGGGAGGGGATTGTCCCGCTCTGCTCTGCACTGGTACGGCCTCACCTTGAATATTGTGTGCAGTTTTGGGAACCACAATATAGAAAAGGTAAGAAGCTCTTAGAGAGCATCCAAAGGAGGGCAGCGAAGATGGTGAAGGGCCTTGAAGGGAAGCCGTGTGAGAAGCAGCTGAGGGCACTTGGTCTGTTCAGCCTGGAGAAGAGGAGGCTGAGGGGAGACATCATCACAGTCTATAACTTCCTCATGATGGCGAAGAGGAGGGTCAGACACTGGTCTCTTCTCTGTGGTGACCAGGTGGTGACAGGACCCGAGGGAACGGCCTGAAGTTGTGTCAGGCGAGGTTTATGTTGGGTAACAGAAAAAGATTTCTTCACTCAGAGGGTGGCTGGTCACTGGAACAGGCTCCCCAGGGCAGTGGTCACAGCACTAAGCCTGACAGAGTTCAAGATGCATTTGGACAATACTCTCAGGCACAAAATCAAGTGTGACTCTTGGGAGTGGGTGCAGGGCGAGGAGTTGGAATCGATGATCCTTGTGGGTCCCTTCCAACACAGCATATCCTGTGATTCTGTAAACCCAATAAGAAGCAGTCATTTCTCTCCTGTAGTGGCAGAACTTGTCCAGCTCACTTTGCAGCACAAACACAGCTCTGCAAAACTGTTCTGATTAATGTAAAGTCTGTTCAAGATTATTTCTCCCACCAGATCCATCAGGCTTAGATCTATTTTAACAATTCCTAGCTCCCAGACAGGCAGACTTGCATTCACAATGAGTTTCAGAAAAGCAAGTTTTACTAACTCAGCACTGTGGAAGGACACAGAGAACACCAACAAACTCTTGCTCTAATCAGTCATGTCTCTGCTGCAGATGGCATGGAGCACAAGTTCTTCCAGTGCACTGTGAACTTTGCTTGCAGATGAGAAGAGGGGAGAGGGAAGACCAGGAGCACAGAAATTATCTAGGAAAAGTTTGATGTCTGTTCTTAGGATGAAGAGTTCCAATTCTGTAAACTACAAAAGTGACATTTAAATGTAAATTTAAAAAAAATCAGGTGAAAAGCATTTTAATTGAATGCAATTAGCACCACAGACTCGATCGCACTGTTCACTGTGCAGTAGTCCTGTCCAGCATATAAATCCCTGGGTACAAGGTGTGTTGGCAGTAGGGAAGCTCTGCCTATAAGATTTTTTTCCTGCACTTCTGAACTCCACACTGACAGGAAATCTCTGTCTCTGGCATGCTTCCAGCTTCATAGCCATAATCCCACGTGAGTTCAGTTCCAGCTTTCACATGTCTAAGAAACAAAACACTCGGTCAATTTGTTTGAACTGAGTGAAACAGTGCTGCGTTTACAATTTGTCACCAACGACTCACATGCAAACCCAAAAACTGTACAGGGCAGCGACCATCACACAGGCAGCTTGTTGGAAGAGAAACAAGATACATAAAGAGTCTCTGACACACACATGCTGCTTGGCCTACCAGAGCTGTACCAAGATTAAAACTACCACAAGAGTGCAAATACCCACACACAGATGGAAAGAATTTATCAAGCAGTGCAATAGTGTCGGAGTATAAACAATATAAACAACCTGCTCTTAGACAAAATTCTGGGAAACAAAAATCAAACAAAACAAAACAAAACAAACAAAAAAAAGGAAAACTACATAAGTGAACACATCCTAAATGAGAACAGTTTTGTTATTTTTACTAAGTACAGTGCATCACTGAAGTCTGAACAGATCTCTAGATATGTTGGTGAAGACTATCATCTTTGGCCTGACAAGCTACGTTTTAATGCAATTGCACAAAGACTCAGAATTAAACACATGCTCCTCATGAACCAGCTGATCTGACAGTACATGAAAGAGAAGAAATTTCTGAGGTAGGAAATTCATTGCCCAAAATGAATGCCAAACTAAATACCTTAGACTAATCTGCTGAGAGACAACTGATGGAAAATACAATAAAATATGAGTATTATAAAGAAGAGAGTAATTCTCCAATGGTTCTCACTGGATACAATGTAAGGGACATCCAGTGAATTACCAGTCAGCAGGCTGAGAACAAACAATGAGGGCTTTTCAAGCAGCACATTTCAACCTGGGACTTGCTGCCTTAAGATATTCTGGAGGCCAGACATGTAAAACAAATGAAAAGGTGATTGAGCAAGTTCATGGAAGGTACACAATTAAGCTCAATGATTCAGATGAAGTCCTTAATGTAGAAAAGTTGTAAAAGGGTGATGCCCAGAAAATGTGAGAGCCAGTCAGGGAAACTCTCCTTCAACAACCCTCCTCCTTCCTTAAGTGTCTTTGCTGATCCCTGTTCCCTCTCTCCACTTGCCTCAGTCCCCACTACACATATCTTTACAGAGTACCTGAGCCAGAAAGTCTCTAACTAAAACAAAATCTTTTTCTACCATATTTCAACATATTGTCTTCACAGTTCTTGAAAGCCTCCCAGTGCAATCCACAGCATCTGTGTTAGTATGGACCAGGGTTGCAAGACTCCAAAGAAGATCAGTGTTCCCAGGAACTGGTTTGTCTGGCACAAATACTCTCCTCTCTATTTTAAGTTCTCACCTAGTATCACCGCTGGTACATGCATCAGCCGGATTCATTCAGACAATTAATCCTTCCACCCCTGGGTGGAAGCTGCCGTCTTCTTCCATCTTACTGGCACCAGCTCTCTGTACCACCCTTTCTATCAGTCACTAAGGGAATACCTGCATCTTTTGCTTTCAGAGTAAATTTTCACCCTTTAAGTATCCTAGTGCCACCTCCCTGGGACATGTTTGGCTACACAAAGTCCTGCTTCTCTTGATAGCTGTGAGGAGAAGGCCTGAAGCTAGCTTGTTTGGCCCACAAAGTGTCTCAACCCTAATATCCTGTGGGGTTTAATCCTGCCCTATGGGACCAAGATCTTTGAGACAGAACAGCAGGATGAGTGAATCTTGGCTTTCAAAATGACCATGCCAAGTTAAACCTATTTCTCCACTGAAGAAGATTATCACTGAAATGGACACATCAAAATTAAGCTTCCCCACTTTACATTTCAATGCAAAACCGAAGAAAAACTCATCAGTGATAATCAAGAAACTGTATTTCTTCTGTCTCTAGTGCACAATTAGAACTCACCAATAAGAAGGTAATGTTGTGCTTTCGTGATCTAAGCATCCCACACACACACCCTACAGCATAATTATGTCCTAATAACTAAGCACTGCTTCTTTTCTCTAGTGCCTTGAATGAACAACATTAAACTTCCAGAAATTCACCTGTTTGTGAAGAATGCCACCCATGGAAAACTTCTGTTGTGAGTCTCTACAAACACGCTTTGTGCAAAGAGATTTGGGCAGCAGCTGTGCTGTAAAAGAGGAAATCTGTATTAGAAACAGTGAAACTCCATACAATTGGCTGAAAAACCTATTTTGTGCCAAATATTTGTCACTAGTAGTTTCTTCCTTCCCATCTCCAGCCCACATAGAATGTCTATTACTCAATGCCACTGTCACTTATTTTTGCAATAATTATGTCTCTTTAAAGTATTACTTTTTGTGAAGTTGTCCTCCACAAATTTATGGAGAAAATTCATCTTAGATTCAGAATGCACCACAAATAATCAGTATATACCTTGCTGTCAGCCAGGGGAGCAGTGATGAGGAGCAAGCGATGGATTAAATGATTATGTGTTGGCAAATTACCAGATGTGAAAGGTGACTCAGGTGCTCACAGGAACATGTGTATGCTCATGGCTGCAGAAGAAAGGTTTCTGCAAGATGCATTACTAATCTCAACACCACATTACCTCTCCAGGGAGAAACAGCAAGGATTTTGCTGTAAGACACATATTCTGGCAATGAAGAGAAATAAGTTATTTGCAGAATATGTGCAGAAATGTCTATTCATCTTAGCTGGAGGTACTTGGTAATTCATTACTATTTATTTCTTGGCAAGTCAAAAACTGAGAGACTTGTTTAGCAGACATGTGCACAGTAGGACAGACCACTTTCTGAACCTATGATTGAACAGTAGGGAAGTTTCGTAAAATATCACAACACTTGTCCTAAACCAGCACTAACTAGAATTTACAATGGCTGGGAGAAGGCATGTGGATCAATAAAACGTGCCATTTGCTCTCTGGACCCCCCAAAAGGCCATCAGGAAAAAGAAGTCACTCATTACTGGGGGATACGTCACTCAGGAACCTGGTGGTGCCAAAAACTACAGCTGGTATGTGGCATGCATCAGCTTGTGAAGGCACTAGCAGTGACCCAGCCTACTGTCCTGTCACTTGTGATGGCAGGGAGCACCACATGTGCCTTCCTTGTCATGCACCTACCACATATGTGGTTTATGTGCAAAAGCTTTCTAGCTTAAGCTTAAAACAATAAATGATGTATTTGCAAAGACAATGAAGAGATCACATGCAACTTTTTACTTACATTTAGAAAACGACCCACATTTCCTTCTTTTGTGGCATCCAGTACATAAATGTTTTCTTCACTAGCATTCTTTGGAAGCATCCCATCTCCATCAGCCTCCTCACAAAATGCATCTTGACTTGACTGCCTGCTACTTTCCTCTTTGCAGTCAGCTTTTAGGGGTATATTATTGGATGGCCTCGCAACACATGCATCATCCAGCACACCTGACTTGCCACAGTTAACACCCTGCAGTGACAGACTCTTTCTTTTGCATCCTTCACTGTCCACACCAACAGACTCGGTCTGCCCGATTTCCATCAGATGTTCTTCCTTCTGCTCCCGGGTGGATTCTGTCAATGGACATATAATTATTTCTCAACACCAGTTTAAGGCCAAAGCCTTTCCCTTGTTTGGCCCTGAACTCTTACCCACCCACTCTTACCCGTGTCCTCCAAAATCTAACCAGCTTGCTATTTACAAGTCTATAACACAACTGCCCCTTTCCATGCCTCTCGTCAATCCTCCCACAAATGACTGTTTCCTGCTGTGGTGTCTAAAGCACTTGCTCAAGGCACCTGTGAGTGACCAGGTCTCTCACTCTTCCCAAATCCTGCTCCAGACTGATTTCTTCCACACAGCATTTTTAAATAATTCTCCGCCTTAATTCCCAAGAGAATCACAAACTGTAATTTAGACAGAAACAAGATGCAAGTGCAAATAGCATCAGTTTCACACTGCCTCTCCAGCCTGAGGTCCCCCCACCCCTGGATTATATCCTGTTCAATTTTTGTTGATGAGAATATGTACTGGGTGTAACACAACAAGATCTGCAAGACTGACTTTCCCACAGTTCTACTGTATTTGAAAGCTGATGTCAGGAGAGGTTAACATGTCCCCAGATCTACTTTGCAGGCAAAAGAATGCCCTGTACCTGTTAATGCACTGTGTTATGCAAGGCAGCAATACTTTCTGTACTACTGAGCTCTCTTAAAACAGCCTCCACAACATGTAGACATTGTTCTACTCAGAGAACAGGCCTGCCCACACTGTCTACACCAAAGCCTACCACCTGATGGGGCACAAACATACTAAGAATGCGGTATGTATACCTCAGAAAACCTACTTTCTTTTCCTTTCTTTGTTCCACTGTTTACTTTTGTTTTGCTTGACTGATGAATCTGAGAACTATTATCTTCATCTGAGCTGGCACTGTGCACCTGTGTATCAAATGAAAAGGCCGTGATGTATTGTTGCTGCATGCCACTCTGAGTCAACACGGTACAGCAAGTGACCTCTAGAACTCTAGGGCTGCAGGTTCAAACCTTCTGCATGGCTGAGGCCAAGTTTGAAAAGTTTGGAAAGTTAATACGTTCACTGCAATGAAATATTGATCTTAATTTCAAATGATCCTTCAAAGTAACCTGGAAGGAGTCCCCCACGCAACAAAACATTTTAAGTAAGCGCGTAAGTCCCAACAATTTCACCAGAATTCTAAGTTGCTGAACCAAAGCCCAAACATGCTTTTTACAGAGTTTCAGTGAAATGAACAGATGTGGCAGGATTTCTCCTCTCCTTGCCACAAAAAGGCAACTACTTATGGTAGCTCCAGAATGGAGCCGAATGTTAGCATGACAATCCCATGTGCATTTCGTAAGTGCAATGAATCCAGCAAAACCTAGAGTAAGTTTACCCCAGTTTTCCTCCTTTACACATATTTGCAGGCAACACTTCGCACTCAGATCAGATCAAATTCTCCCAGTTCTGCCACTGCATGAAAAAAACGTGTACAAATCTTGAGATATTCCCCTCTCCCTGTTACGCCATTCTTTTGGGAGGCATCACAAAAATACTATCACTCTCACACCCTAATCCTGTAGTTAGTGACAGCAAGAGGTGGAGGGGGAGAATAATTTTCTAAGACTCTCAAGGCTAGAGGGTAAGTGAAGGGTGGAGAAGGGAAGGCTGTGGGAGTAGTTCGTGCTGGTCTGGAGGTACATGTGGAAGGACTGATAATGGAGAAGGGATGGGGTGCAGCTTCCAGCATGGTAGCTTAACTCACAGTGTGACACAATCTCATAAAGAAAGATCATTAGAACTACCTAAATGTACAAGTTGAAAAGGTCAGAATTAACATAAATATTCAGCACAGAAAAATGAATACATTAAAGCCTATTATTATTATTATTATTACCATTTTTAGCTGGTGATTGTGAAAAAACCCTGTTCTTCCAGGTCTTGCAGTTGCAATACTTGAGTTCTTTAGATGAACCCTGTACAGAAAGGTCAAAAGGAAATTATAAAAGACAGACTCACAAGTAACTCTCAAAACACACATTTCTCAGACTTCTGGTTCTAGTCTCTTCTCTAAAAGAGATGACAGCAGAGCCTGCAGTTTGGCCTCACCCCATGTTCTGTGATTATTTTGCCTTTACGAATCGAGGACCTAGGCCAAGTTTACTGTTGCATTTGTAAAAAATCAGTTGTTCATACTTTTTTGAGGGATCATCTGCTTTTACATTGTTTCCCAGTTGTCCAGCTGAGAACCAAACTGTCTGTTGTTTTACTATTATTACATCAGATCACCTCAAAATAAAGCACCTACAGACAGAGTTTTGCCTTTTTCCTGCTACTACTTTCAACAGTTTTAACAGTGCAGCTTTTAAACAGGAGAGCAAAGATGTTGTGGGTACAAGGGATAGGGAGAGAGACAGAAGGGGAGGGAGGCAATGTACAGCAGGTTTAGAAAATAATTTCCCTCAAAAGGACCTCAGTCCTTCATATCAGGAAGAGAGTTGAGGAAGATGGAAAACACTATCTGGTATATACATTTAAAACATCTGAAGTCACATTAATTTGGATTAAATTCAGAGTGCAGTAGAAGACAACAGTTTCAAAACTAATGTTAATATCTGTAAAATGTCTAGCAATAAATAACAGCCCTTATTCAAGAAGATTTTCAATGTAAAACATTTATATGTGTTTTCCTGCCACAAAAAAGAAAATCCTGGTACTTCTTTGGGCTACTGATAATTGCAAGAAATGCTGCTCTTTAAGGCTTTCTTAAGATTTAAACTCCTTTGTAAATTCAAAATGTGCAGAGGCCACAAGAAAATGTGACATTGTTACATGGTTACATTGTTTATTCTTTTAAAGGCAATCTATTTGGGTGAATGACATGTCAAGCCTAGCACACTGATGTCCTCTTAAATGTTTCTCAGTCCAGTTGGACTGACTGTCATTTCTTAAGAGGCAGAATAACAATGTCTTTTTGTCTGTCACATTTTTTTTAATACAGCCCAGGTGTAAAACATTTTTTTAATCTCAGGAAATGAAATTAATGAGATTTAAGGTAGCAGTGCAGCAGAGGCAACTTTGAAACTCTGCTTGCCTACTATTTTTATTAATGGCACTTAGCAGAAGTAAAACCTAGCTGATTACTTATAATTATGTAATTAGAAAATGATGGTCTCCAAGATACTGAAATGCAAGTGAGAAAACAGTAGCAGATATTTTTAAAAGTTTCCATTTGCAATTTCATGGTACTTCTAAAAGATCCACAATAATCTTCTACTATGAAAAGAGCAAGAATTTGCAATCATTTGTGAGTAGTACAAAGAAAGTGTTTACAAAGTAGTGTGGCAGAGCAACAAAGAAGCTCCCAACTTCCTTCTGAAAAGACTACAGCGTGCTATTGGCACAGCCACATGGTTATTTTGCGGTAATTTTATTCTAGGAATGCTGACAGGCTATGAGAACCTGAGTATACAATGAAAACATAATTCACTGCAAAAGTGAGGTGCTGTCAGACTCCTAGCAGGAAAGCTTATGTTAGAAATAACTAAAGGTTTAGAGATTGGTGGCAAAGGACAGGACAGTTAGTGGGTCATATGTTATTAAACCCTTCATCAAGTATCTTTAAATGATTTATCTCAAGTATCTTCTGTTAATTGTTTCAAAGTTGCATCATGATTAACACCCTGAACAGAACAAGTACATCAAAGAGATGAACTGGATTTCTAGAAAATGCCAAGTGGTACACACAGTAAGTAAAATCCACATAGAGGAAAACTCTGTCCCACTAGTAGAAATAATTGGGAAATAACAAAGAAGTTCAGAAAGAAAAAAACCCACCCTTATCTGAGGACATTCAGTTCTGCTCTAAGTTATAAAACATAATTCCTAGAATAGCAGAATATTGATTTTGTTATGCTTAAGTTTTTTTGATAAACTTACAGGGTTGATTTATTTTCACTATCCACAGTTTGAGACAAAGGTTCCTGATTCTCAAGAATGTCATGTTTACCAGTCTGCACTAGTTCAATCACTGAATCTGAACAATCAGTGTCAAGTTTTCTTTTTTTGGAAAAACCCCCATGGTTTCTGTCATTCACAGCACTCTTCTCTTTCAGCTCTTGACCAGCATCTCCCAATACTTCAGCTCTGCTCATTAATCTGCCTGAAAGCAAAAGAAAAGTTTGGTTTGCTTTTTACTTTTTTTTTAATGTTTGTTTTCTTAGATGACTCATACTACCATAGGTCAAACTTACATTAAAAAATACAAGAACATTACTTGGGAAAGCAAAATATGAATGCAGTCTGTGATTCTCTGATGTCAGTAGAGGCTGACATACAAACTAAATTAGACGTACAGCCCTTGGTACAGCATGCACAGACTTATGAGGTAAAAGCCTGAGATAGACTTTGCTCCAGAATGTTTTGATTGCTTGTCTGCCACCATTGCACTGCAGAGTTCTTCAAGATTCTTCTGTCCGTTTGATCACATTGCAAGTTAAGATTGTATTGACCCACTTCTCCTCCAACCCCATATTTCCCTGTTCTCAAAAAAAAAAAAAAAAAAAAAATCCAGGGCAGAGGCCACAAGAGAGGGAGAATTATGCTACATGTCTTCCAAGGGTCACCTTCTGTTACCTGAGTAGGTACAAACAAATGTCCCCTTGTCGATATCATCCAGGCAGCGGACGCCCCAGCCTTTCTTCTCAGTGTTGAACACTTGCAGCCTGACTTGAATGCCGTGCTGTACAACTCTGTTCTGACACATCAACTTGTCACACCTGCACAACACACTGCACTCGTAAATTCTGTCAAGTGGAAGAAGAACAAAACACAATATAAAAGGATGCACTACTAAAACAAAGTTTCTATTATTAATTTCCCTTCATAATCAGCATCAATAAGGCCATGGACTGAAAAGATAAAGACTGACTAAAACTGGTTGTGCAGCAGTGCTCTGAAACTCGTGACTTTCTTGATTGCTGATTCGTCAATTTTAAGTGTCTGTCAGCCAGATTTTGGTATAAGCAGAGAAGAAAAATAAATGCTAAATTTTTGTTTTATAGGAGTAAAACTCACAGAAGCAGAAATCCCTATGACACACCTTATTCTATGCTGGAACAGATCTTAGCAAAGACAACCTATATGCCTGGACCTCAATGTAGTTGTCATGAGTTTAAAGATTTAACAAAGTATTTCTAAAAAAACTCATAATTGTGAATTTTTTTTTTTTGCATTTGTTTCTGATTTCTCTGACAGCTTTGATTCTGCACGTTAATCATAAACTAACATCACACAGCAAGAGAGAACTGAAAGGGCTCCTTAAACATGTGGGTTCAAGCCCTTGGCTATTGCAGAAAGCTATTTTGCACAATTCCCCTCCTAAACACTTGAAATACCTGGCACCTTCTCCAAGCCACATATTAATCCCCAGAAGCTGAATAAGAGAAAGGGCAAACACTTGAAGCATTGGATGGCTTTGGAAAATTTTGAAAGAGTCACACATAACCAAGTCTGGCAACAGCAGCTGGTCAATGTTTCTTTAGGACTTTGGTCACTATTTACACTTTTCTTAGACCTTAATCTAAGATGTCAAAATTGTAGAATTTGCTGTAGAAGAGTTTTAGGGTTTTTTCCTCCTATTACTCAAGTCACATTAATTATTTTTTATCATCCTGATCTGTCAGTAAAATTGTGACAAAAATAGAAGGTTTGAGTTAGCCAAAAACTCCACTTTTCTTAATCCTGTAGCGCTTACACTACAGGAGTAAAATAAGAGAATACAAATAAAATAGCAGTTAATAGTTTGGTCTTTCTTACCCACTAGGAACTGGTCCCTCCAGTCTTTTGTAACGGTATCCATGGGATCTTTTACTACCTGAAGATAGAGAAGTTTTACTACAGCCTCTTGCAGTTAGCTGTAGGCATGCACATTTTGACCTAAAAGTAAGAATAAAACATCTCAGAATGTATTTGGAGCAGTGCAAACCAATCATAAATCTAGGTAAGTTGAAATGTTCTTGACTATACACCTGCACACTTGTATATATACACCTGTACTCCCCCTTCCCACTCCTTTTATTCCACAAGGCTGTTTCAGGCACCCTACTTTCTCCCTTTGTCTCTTGGCTGGTTATGTGTGCTTTACAATAAACATGTTCTCTCCACCCCAACCCCATTCTTCTGCCAAGCTCCTTAAATGGCACATGCAAACAGCTGAAGTACAACAGAAATTTATTATAAACAGCACACTACCAAATGGATCTAATGAATGAAAATCACCTCTTCTGGCACAGCATTCCAGTCTGTTAACCACTACTTCATTACTTTCCTCCCACCTTAGCCCCCAGGAAGCAAAGAATTTTACACTGTGGAGAACACAAGCAACAGTGCTTGTCTTCACCATCGTGTGGCACGACAGCTGCAAAGAATCACAGCAATCGTGCAAATCCTGAACCCCAAAACTGCACATCAGAAGCATCTCAACTCTTGTGGGACTCCACTGCTCAGCTGAAACTAAATCACTTTAATTACTGAAGCTTCTTTATACCAGGGTGTGATTTCAAGGTCTTCTTGGGTCATGGGCAATTATGTTGCACACCAGCACATGCAACTGCCCCAGCTATCAATAATACAAAATGGATCCAACGCCAGGTAACACCTACAGACAGAGATCAGACAAACACCCTTCAAGAAAGCAGACAAAATTATCACCTAATTCTCATACAGTAACTGTGGCACATTCCCACAGAGTGTCTGTAGCCCAGAGTTACTGAGATTTAGAAAAAGCAATGAACAATACTATTGGAACTGCTCAGACCATAAAGGTATTCTGTGACTACAGGGTTTCATAATTTCTCTTTAGACAAGGGGAGGGAAAGGATGTAGAGGTTGGGAACAGGGTTGCTTCTTCCTCTGCCCTCAGTAGCCTTCTAAATTCTAAATGATCTGATCCTTTCAGGTTGTACCATCCCACCTCTAGGATACCACAGTAGGAGCTGCAGCAGAAATTGTCATGTGGGATCCTCTCCCTGCCTGCCAGGAAAACAAGCCCTCCTCTGCTGGCACAAGACTCCCTTCCCTGCACCTTTTCCAAAGCCAAGAGGCCTGCTTGTCAGCTCCACCTGGAGGAGAAACACTGCCAATTTGGGAAGAAAGGGAAAGGAACAAAATAATCCACTTGTTGATCACTTCCTTCACTACAACAGAGGGTGGACCAATAGGAGCACCCAAGTTCTGGAGAACAGAAAGACACAGTGGTGTTAGTCAACACAGAACGTCGCACAAGACAAATCCCACAGATATTCCAGCAGCGTTGGTCCTGTTTGGCGTTGTTTGGTACTGTGCACCTTCCCACAATGCCACACTGCTGTTGTGGCATCATGTGTCACTAGTCTGAGATTAGATTTTTCTACCTACTTATCGATGCAGCCATCTGTGCAGTCACATGAGTCCACAAACAGGCTGGAGAAGTTGTTGAGATAATATCCACGTGGCCACGATGACTTCCGGTATTTGAAATAAGGTAACCTTGCACGGTCAAGATTGTTACAGAAGGAGATGGGCACAGACTCGGCTCCGTTGCTAATATCAAAGTCAAACACGAGGGGTTTGGGATTCATGGTGTTCCTGCCCAGCAGTACATATGTGTTGAAGGAAAAGTGATCAACAAATAAGAAATTGCACTTTGTTTCAAACAAATACTTTTGCACATCTCGAAAGCTTCTCAGACTCCGACCGCAAGGAGCTTTGTAATTCACATCCAGTGATTTCGAAAGGCAGTCTGCTTTTGCATGGCGTCTTTGGAAGTGAAACAGGATTGGTATCTTCAGAGGATTTTCACCCTTGAAGGAGCCCGCTGCTCTCTTGGCAAGACATGCACTAGAGCACTTGTGGTTCTGATACGGTAGGTTTAAAGGTAAGTGTTGAATTTTGCTAGATGCTTTTTGACTCCCTGAACATGCTCTTTCCATCTCCTCTTTTCTGCTACTTGGAGTAGAAGAGAAAAAAAAAAAAAAAAAGAAAAAAGAGCAGCATCTTAGACAACCAGTGAAGCATTCAGCTTTTTAGTGGTTTGGTATTTTTAGCACAGGAAAGAAACAGCCCATTCCTAGAAGGTCCAGGGTTTCACTGAAACACTGTATTACATGGTGTTACTCTCCTAACTTCATATGAAGACATATTCAGTTGCATTAAGAACAAGAAAAAAAAAAGGCAACAGCTTCTTAGCTTCTTTCTAGAAAGAGCTTACATGCTAAAACACAGAAAGGACATTTAAAAAAAAAAAAAACAACAATCATATTTACTCCAAATCAGTACCTGAGGCTAAATACAGAGGGACTAAGTCACACGCCTGACAATATGCAAGGCACAGAAAGCCTGAGAACTGCTACTTAAGTCCTAACCCTGATAATTCTGGTAATACTCATGGATCTTTATTCACAACCTAATGCCCTATTTTGCAATGTTCTCATGGGGTAAATTAGACAAGTCTATTCAAAATGTCAGGTTTTCCGCGTAGGTCAAGTTAAAGACACTTTCACTTTGAAAGCTAGCAGAATTCAAAATTAGGTTTAAAACACTGACTTTAGAATACAAACTGAGAACTCTCTCTAAACTGCAGTAAAGAATATGTCAAATAAGGAGCTGAAATAAAGATGCTGACCTGTCAGAACCTTCTACAGCATTTGTAGTATTGTCATCTGCAAGAAGGTGCTGCAATTTGGGTTTGGTTTCCTGTTGTCCATCTCCATCAAACCCATCATTTACTGAAAAAATTGAATGCAAGCAAATACTTCATCAACTCACATTTCAATTTATAATTTAATTTAGTTACTAAAGAGAAAATTGACAAAATGTATTAAAAACAATGCGTAGCTATGAAGTACAGCTAACAGAGAGCATGTTAGCAAGTGCCCTACTAAAATATCTTCCACACAGTTTTCAAAGTGACCAGAAACAACACGCATGTGAAACACATTTACAGATTTCTCTTCATTATTTGAGATAAAAGAATGCCAAGGTATTTCAGCTAGTGGAGCCACGCACAGAATAACTCTGCTTGCAGACAGCTCAGGTTCATCGGGGCTTACTAGTTCAAACTGGTTCCCTTGGTACACACACACGAACCACAAAAATACAAATCCAGGTGAAAGTTCATAGTCCAGTACCCGAGGAAATTAATAATTACATTTTCCCCACTGTAATGCTAACGGCCTTCTCAGATCTATTTTATTGATTTCAACGGAGGGAATTAAACTTCTAGTGAGTAAAACAAGAAAAAAATGAGCCCACGTGCCAAACAAATACAATTGGGATGCACGTACCGTTTGTCAAAGTTAAGAGATCACTTAAATTAGCTTCGTTCACCAGTGCCCAAGCCTGCCAGCATTCTGCATAAAAAAAAAACCAAACCAAAGCAGATACTAAGTGTAAGTGAAGTAATGATAACAGGGGAAAAAAGGGGTAAATCCACCAGAGATACTTGTTTCCTCACTAGGGTAATCTAGAGTACTGCAAGACTGATACTATTAGAAACCTTTTGCACCACAGACCTTAACAGACACATCTGGGAACTGCAATAAAATTACAGCTCACAGTAGCAGCTGTGTATTACTGGTGAATATCCCTTGGCTTTTGGAAAGCCGCTGGAATGTTTCCAAGCGCACACAGACTGGTGGCCTACAGTGGCAGTAATATACATAAAGACAACTTAGTGTGAGTTTCTCTCTTTACTTTGTCATCAGCCTAGTTATCTTCAGGCTAAGAAGAGCCACGCTTTGTGTGACAAAGTATACAGGCAAAACAAGAAAATGGCAAAGTGCACCTGAAATTGTCTTTTTTTAAAAAGAAGAGACTTTTTAAAAAGTACTTAAACCCACCAACTACTAAGTAATTTAAATTCAGAGGTAACTAAATTATGTCAGATATGTCACAGATCTACACAAAACAGACCACAGCTCCCTTGCAGTCCAGCTTAATATCTACGAGGATTTCAAACCTTGGTTTGTGGCAGTTCCATTCTTGATCTTTTCCTTTAGCAACAGCAGCACATTTTGCACCTGCTCAAATATGACATCCACTCTTCTGCCTCCCAATCGTGTCCAAAACGTTTTCAAATCACCTGCAATGCAAATTCCTGTTTACAAATCTGTACAGCTCCTGAGAAGTCTGAAAACACACGTTAACTTCTAGTGGACTATTCAAAGGTTCCCGCTCATTTCATTTGGAGGCACTTCTCAATACCCAGTCAGGACAGCTGAACGGCTTAAGCCTTCAGAAGTCTATTCCTACAGCTAATCAAGAAAGTTAAACAGAATTCAAGTGACGAACTGGAGTGGGTTCTGATGGTCCATGATGCTCCTTCAAGCAACCTTTCAAGCACGTCACAAAGGGTGCTGTGGAAGCCTTTCTTCAAATACCAGCAAATGAGTCCCATTATAAATTAATCACCACTGAAACTCACAGAAGTGACAAAGGAGAATATTTTCAACTGAGTGAACTGAATATATTATTCAACAAAAGACATTTGGATTTTTTTATTTTTTATTTTTTTTTAATAGCTGTAACCTCCCTTAGCTACACAGGCTGACTAGCCTGTCCCATTAATTTTGGTATGTTTTCTATGGAAAAAAAATCATGATATTTTCAGATAGAAGCAGTTCAATAAATATTGTTCACCAAGTGATATCAGTTGAAAGAGTTAATACATGCCGTATGTCATGCCTCCTTCCTCCACTAGAAATAGTTATGAAGAACATCTTGTTTAAAGGCATCTAAGCTACTGGTTCAGAACATACCTTCTCTTCCAAAGGTATGTACTTTTGAGGTACTAAGCCCATTCATGAAAGCTTTTGTTAAAACATTAGCAGTACGTCTTTCTCAAGAAAAAGGAAATAGGGTTCAGTGTATCAACAGATGACGTCTGAAAAAAGAACAAGCTCTTTCTCATGATTAATGTTGCTCTTCTTCAGTGGCCAAGAACAAAAGAGTAAGCAAATCCTACTCCATTTCTAGAGGTGGAGTCCACTGTCACACTAGGTTCACATTCCACTTTCAGACAGCAAATCTCGGCTGGCAAATGCTCTGGGGTGACACCTCCCCAGCAGTCAAGAAATACTGCATTCTGGTAAGTCTTGTAAAAAAGTATTTCCTTCATTTTTGACTTATTAGAGAATGACTTCTGTTGCCCAAGGCACCAGAAGCAAAGGCATTCTACTGCAGTACAGACTGTATGGTTACTCTCAAAAGCATCACGACAACAGTGAAGGGAGTAACAATCTTTTGTCACCGCAACCCCAGCTGTGTATGACACCAGCAGCTAAAAGTGTAATATTTAATATAAACAGGCAATGTCTTGTGGAAGAACTGATTTGGTGCTATCTCTCCACATAATTTAATGATCTCTTATATTCACAGAAATTAAAAAAATGTGAAAAGGTTAAAGTCCCATTACAAAAAAAGCCACAACAATTTTTGGAAGCCTACATTACTGCTCCAAGAGACAATGCCTGCCCTGTGCCATTCCCGTCCTTTCACTGTGCATGACAGTATCACAAATTTAAAATACTGAGAAGTAAGTATATTTCATATTTGTGTTTCAAAATATACATTCAGGAAAAGATCAAAACTGCTATCCTCATTCATTACCGGTTTTCAGACACTTCAACACAGTTATTAAATTTGGAGGATTTTTTGGATTGGTGGATGTATTACTTCAGAGGACGGGTGACAAAACACAGTTTTTTGTTTCTGGGCCCCCTAGATATAATCATGCATAGGCCAAAAAGAAATAAAACATATACTATATGTAGTGCTCACTCACCTTAGAAATGCTTCCCCAGTTCTCATGCTGGGGCGTCCTGAAACTCTAGCAGCAAAAACTTTGTTTTGCTCGGAGAAGCAAAGAACGCATATGAAGTTCACAGTACAATTTCCATTTCAGAAAGACAGATGTCCACATCACTAATCTCTCCACTATTAATTCTGCTCCTGTCAACTCAAGACAGGAGGATAGGGAATGAACAGACACAGGAAGCATTTACCTCGTCAGCATTCAGAATCATCTCACCAGCTGATGACTCAAGGTGTGGAATGGCATCTGGTGGCAATAGTTCTAAAACTGGCTCGAGGGATTTTCTTTTTCCCCTATAGAATCCTTGTGGCCACATATCTCTTTTTTTTTTCCAGCTTTGTGCAGGGCAATGACGCTGGAGCAAGAAACAAGCAGCCAAGGTCAGGGCTGCTTACTCCAGCCACTAGAAAAACAACTCATGTGCGTGTTTCCTGCAGTCCTGCTCATTAACGTCTGACACCATAAAAGGCAAAGCTATTGTCTTTCAATTATCATTTTCACATCAGAAGTCGTGCCCAAACATACACTACCTTCCCCTTCCCCTCCATAAATCCAAATTATACTACCTTTAATGCTCTCCTCCCTGGAACTGGTAAGGTTCTCCTCTTCAAAGAAGTCGCGCAGCACTACAAAGTGGTGCAGAATGTACAAGTAAGAGATTGCGTGAGCAATCAAAATGGTTGTAGCCACCCAGCTGTTCAAAATTTATGCAAGTAAATACTACAGTGGGTATCAGCAGGAGCACTGTGTGAGAAAGCGCTGTGGTGAAACAGTCATCCTCCTCTCAAACGTCATCCCACGCTTTGTCAAGACATAGTTGAGGAACACTCAAATGAAACAAGCCGCATGAGGAAGCTTTTTTACTTAGTCATTTCTTACTACCCCTCAGGCATGAAGCTGTCACAGATGGCCCATACATTCCAGCACATTCAGGTGAGCCTACATAATCCCCACTGCCTATTAGCTCACAGTTCTTTCTTTCTTTTTAAATCTGTGCTGTCAGTACTACAGCTAAACTAATTTATTTATAGGGAAAAAAAAGGAAAGCTTCTTTTAGGTAAATACATTACTGAATCTGTTTCTTGACAGATGCAAGACGAAGCAAGGTATATCCACCGTAAGAACAGTAAGCAGAAGCAAGGCAACACTCTTCAACCACACTGAAGATTCCAAATTTCCGTCATCATTAATCACAGAATCAATTAGGTTGGAAAAGACCTCTGAGATCATCGAGTCCAACCTGTGACCGAACACCATCGTGTCAACCAGACCATGGCACTGAGTGTCACGTCCAGTCTTTTCTTAAACATCTACAGGGATGGTGACTCCAACACCTCCCTGGGCAGCCCGCTCCACTCCATTTATGTTGGCTACTTAATCTTTTCTACGCTAAAACTGAAAAAAACCCACAACTATCTTCATTAACTCTGGAACAGGTACTTCCTTTGGCTGAACAGGAAAATACCTTAAGGGAAGACTGTTGGCTCCTAGAACTGTTTCTCACGAGACCAATGGCTGCTCAAAACATACACCTGCTTATTTTTAAAGGCTTACTTCTTTTCTCCTCCATCCTCCCGGGAGGCCTCTCGGGCGCTGTCACCCGCGCCGGGGCAGCGCCGAGCCCAGCTCAGGTCGGGGCGCGCCGGGTGGGTCTCGCTGCGCTCCGGCACGGCGGTGGGCAGGGGCCGGGATGCCCGTGGGGCGGGGAGGCTGGCGTGGGGCGGGGAGGCTGGCATGGGGCGAGGCTGCTGTCAGGGGCCGGGTGCCGGGTCATTCCCGCAGCGCTCAGGCCCTCGCCGCCGCACCCCCCGCTTTACCGCCCCTCCTCTTGCTGTTCCCGCAGGCGCCGCCGCCCGCCAGGGGGCGCAGCCCCGCCGGGGCGCGGGAGCCCGGGGATGTGGGCGGGCACGCGCGCGGGGGGGGCGGGGCCAGGGCGCGCGCACCGCCGCTGTGTCTGCTACCACTGGCTGCGGCGGCGGGAGGGGCGGCGGCGGCGGCCAATGAGAAGAGGGGGCGGGGCCGCGCGGCCGCGCGGAGGCGGTGGAGGCGGGGGGGGCAGAGCGAGGGACTGGAGGTGCGTCCGCCATCTTGGAGGGGGCGGGTCGAGGGGGGGCAGGCCGGCCCCGGGGCGCTGTGGGGCGCCGGAGCCGTGTTGGGGCCGGGGGCCAAGGGCGGTCGGGTTGGGGAAGCTTGCTGGGCTGGTTGGGCCGGCGTCGGGCTGCGGCGTCTTCGCGAATGTGTCAGAAATGAAAACGTACGATAACGAGTGAGCGAGTTGCGTAACTTAACTGCTGGCCGCTGCCTTTCGCCCTTAGCTGGCTGTGGCGCTGCCCTGTGAAGTGCTAAATTATCGCTGCCCTTTTCGATTCAAAGTGTGAAAATAAAGGTTTGTGACGCCCTTTAAAGTTTTAAGCAGCGCTGCCTTTGCAAGTGTTGGTGTTGTGGCTAAGTAAAGGGGTTTTTCAGAGGGGCTAAAAAATAACCTGCTCTTAAAAGGCAGTGAGGGTCGTTTGTCATCCCTTGTCACTTCTTTTTTTTGCCACCACTTTAAACTGTAGAGATGGACATACTGTGCTCAAATAATTGTCAAAGGATCTCTAATCTCGTGGATATTACTAAAACACTGGGGAGAAAGTGAGATAGAAATTTAATTTTTCTGCCGGGGGAACGCTGTATTTACATGACTCGAAGCTCTGGTCCGACCCGGGATCCTCCAGAAGATTTTGGTGTCCAGCATCTGCTTTGGACTTCTAGAAAACCTTTTAAATGTTTACACAGGCATGCCTACATCTGTGCCTGTGTCTGAAGTTCAGCCCATGAGAACTGCCCAGCTCCACAGAAAGGAATGGGACAACTCACAATAACATTGCTGGGAACAGGGTGGCTCAGTGTCACTGATGTGCTGACAAATCTCTCAATAAAAATAGTAGTTTACGTTTAAAAAGAAGATATTTCTCCCTTGTAATTATTTATTTTGAAATGAAGCACAAGCTTTTCCTGCTCTTGGAATATTCTGCATTATGAGATGATGCTTGCAGATTAATTAAATTGTTAATATATGTGTTTGTGAATACTGAGTGTTTGGAAATTGTACATGAGGAATATACCAAGTACAGAGAAGATGGAGCCCAGTCATGGGAAGAAGCTGAGAGAACATGACTGCCTACCTCGGACAAAAGAGAAATTATGAATATATTAGAAAGTAGTAATGTATTTTGCTTGTTATTTGAAGCAAAAAAAAAAGGGAAATATGTCTTTCTTGAAATTAATTACTTAAGACAAAATTAATGAGGCAGTTTTGAAACATATCTGAGTTTCCTTTTGTTTTGCTTTTATCCTGGAACTGTAATATAGGCTTTCTGCAACATAGCAGCAAATTCTGCCCGTGAGCCAGTAAGCTCAGTTCTTCCCACACTTGTTAGGTGGCAGAAGCTCACAAGCGATGCTGATCTGACATCCCAGCAACCTGCCTGCAGCACTCCTCCAGCAGCAGTGTGAGCTTCCTGGCGCTCTGCAATCTGGACCTGGACTGACTACCTGCACCCAAAGGTGAGAGCAGCGGTCCCACGTGCCTACACATTCGCTAGCACCTCCGGTTAGGGTGACAACGAAAGGACCGACTGTCCTGGTGAATGGTGCTGCTGATTGAGTTGCTGAATTACGCTCTTGTTACATGGTTCTGTAGAGACTTCAGGTGGACAATTTCATAGACAGGCAGGCCACAAACAGCTCCTGTGAGTGGGAGGAGGTGAAGCTGATCCAAAGGGAACTCTAGTCTCATCTAGTTCTCTTCTCCAGGGATGTTTTTGTCAGCTTGAATGCGGTAGGCATGAGGGTGTTTCCTCGTATGACCAGGTAGGTGAATTAGAGACACCAGTTAGACTCCAGAAAACACAAAGTAGACAAAGCCATAGACTTTGGAAAGCCATGGGCATTTGGAAATGTTTTTTAACTCTCATGCAGCTTTTTGTGTTTTTCTGATAGGCTTGGCTCTTTGTTTTATAGACTCTTTTCTTCTTAAAGTATCTTCATCAGTTAGAGTACTTCCACCACCCTCTTTTCTGACGCTTTCTCCGTTATGCTTCTTAGTAATTTAACTTGCTATTTTATAGGTGAGTGTCTGCACTTCATTCTTTCAAAATGCAGTTTTAACATAATGTTCTCTTTTATTACATTGATTAGTTTGAGTGTGGTTTATATGTAGTCTCTTGTTTTTCACACATCTTGAGTAAGATAACAGAACAGACTACGGGCATTTCTATACAGATCACAGATCATTGCTACTTTACAAATTCATTGCCAGCAAAATGTTTTAGTGAGGCAACCTTTGGTTTATGTTAGAAATTTTTCTGTAGCCTATAATTATTTATGAAGAGATGGGCTAATATTCCCCATAGGTACGTTGCTCACTAACTGGACTCATCTCAACCTATTTACAGGCCCTCAGCATGCTTTGTTACTATGTTTTGTAATTCTTTTGCTCTTGTAGGTATGTTAGAAGGTTATTTGGATATTATTTTTTTCCAGGCATTAAATGAAAAAAGGGGAGGTTATAGGTCTCTGAGAAAAGCCTGTAAAATGGTTTTGTTCTACCTGTGATGTAAGCACGTTTGCATTCTTGGCAACTAAAAATCTAACAAAGTGTCTGTTTGAGAAGTGGAGCTTCTAGAATCATAGGCTTTTACAGTCCTAAGGGAATCTTAAAACACAGGCAGAGACTGGCTATGAAAAGGAAAGGAAAAATTTGTGTCACTGTTTTAACAATAGACTTCTTTCATGTGGAGGACCTAGATGTCTGTTAATTACTAACTGGCTTGAGGGTTTTGGATTCTGGCCCAATATGCTGAAATTCTTAACCATCCACTGGCTGGCATATTCTTCAAGGTCTGTATTTGGAAACTGGTAATGTAATGGGTTTCGTCTTTATAGACTGTTTATGTAGTAGAAACATTTTCATTTTCAGCTATGTTTCTGTCTTACAGTCTCGGTATTCATTGCCGGCATAGACTCCAGACAGTTGTGTGAGCTCAGAAAGCAAGGGCTGGTTTTGAGGTTAGATAATGTTGGACCGAGTTGAGCAGCATGTGTTGTCTTTGCTGTGCCACAGCCCCACCACAGTGATCAAGATGTAAAACTCTGCCCTCTAATTTTGGGTGATTTGGATCTGAAAGCTTGTGATTAACTATTGCACTTGAAAGGGCCTGAGATCTCTGGAAACCAGGCAGTAGATCTATATGATGAAAGGAATCCAAAATAAATGGAAGGCTAAAAACATTTTTATCATCCTTTTTCCATGTGAACATGGCAATGTATTTGTCTGAAATGAATTTTCACTGGTATTTTCTGAAGTAAAGCTAGTAGTTGTACATTATTCCAGCCCTTTTGATGAGTTCTGTTTGTGGGTTTCCATGCAGATTAAAGTATGTGCAGCAAGTATTTTCATTAAATGAAGATGTAGTAGACAAAAATTTCTAAGCAATCTGCAAGATTGAATGAATCTGTGGTGTTCCCACTCTTAAGAGATGTTCTGTGGAGACCTCCACAACTTCCTTTTGTTTTGCCTTTTAGTTTTTAAATCCAAGTGTGGAGGAAGTTGTCCTTGTGGTGCCAGCTGATGGAAGGTTGATCAAGTTTAGTGCTGGTCTTGGTAGCAGCTGTGGAGGCCAGGGAGGCAGTACCTGGCATAGAATTGGACTTGAACTAATAAAAGCTGTCAAAAAAGTGGCATATGGCAACAACATGAAGTAATTATTGTGTGTAGATGAAATAACCACACTCTAATAAAACTGAAACTGACTTGAGGAAACAAACCCCAATACTCGCAAAGAGTATTGAAGCAGGTATGTTTATTCACAGCGCTGGGTGCATGGGGGATAATTCCTCCAATCATGTACACCCATTGCCTTTGTTCAACTGCTTTTATGCAGGATAATGTTACAGATGCATTAGTAGTATTACGTATACAGTAGTTGTGTTACATATACATTAGCTGTATTCAGCAAATTCCAGAAAAGTGGGAGGGGAAATCATTAACATACACCACCCCTGTAACTCCACCTTGGAACACCCCCTTGGGGTTTTCTTTCAGGGGTCTTTGGGGGTGTTTTGGATGAAGTAAGAAGTCTTCCTCGGCTTGAACTTTTTACCTTTGCTAAGAACTACTGACTTGGCATTATCCAATTCACTCAAAACTGGTATCTTCTCCAGGAGCTTTTCTTTATCAACTTTCAAGGTCTCTTTCTCATGAGCTTCAAAGCCCCCTATCTAAACTCTAAGGTTTTCTGTTCCCACTCAAGTCTTCATTATAAAATTAACTATATCCTGTCTGTGAGTTAGCATAAGCAAGCAAGAAAGGCCCTATCCTAATTCTACCTAAAAATTAGCTGGTAAGCAACTAAGGCTACAATCTTGTATTATTGCTTTATATTTTGATCACCCTTTATCAAACCCTGTATATATATACATATATATAAATATACATTTACAGATTTCAGTGTTATATATATACTAAGAGAAATTTGACTAAAACCTTATAAAACAGGGTGAATACATGTTGCAGTGAAGAGGCTCAACAATGGGGCTCTTAACAAGTATATTCTGGACTAAATAGTCCTTAGTTGCAGCTTCCTGTGGGAAAAATAATTTAGTTGAAGAAAACCCTAATATTTTAGTTGACTGTTTTCTCTGATCCAGTTCAGTGTGCTGCATCAGCACTTGGTTTGGCCTGGCTTTGTAAAGGTGTGGAACTGACAGTAAGGTGTGAAGAGCAGAAGGAGCGAGAATGGGAAGCAGTATTGTCTTATTAATATGTGTTGTATTTGGTTTTATTAATAA